TTAGGTGGTAGCTCTAGAAATGAGGCTTTGGCATTTGGGAGGATGGCTGGTTGGTTTTGCTGAAGACAGTGTCAGGATCATTTAAAAATTGCTCCTTTCCTCAGCAATCATCAATTCTGAAAAAAAAAAAAGTACATGTATAAAAACCAAAGGAACTTGATATTTGCAAGTTTACCGAAGATTTTTAAATACAGACAAAAAAAATAAATTGTGAATGAAAACAAAAGAGCTATATTTGACTTCACACAAAGCAAGAGATAGTTCAAATGGTGTCTGGCTTTCCACTGTCACATGATTTTTTTTTTTTTACTCTCCACAGTCAAAAAACAAGATATTAAAGTACTTCTTATTAACAAACAAACAAACAAACAAAAAGCCAACAAAAACCCAAACAACATATTGCAGAAATAGTCTGTGTCATCCATTTGACAGCTTCAGCTCCATGCAGAGGTGCTGCAGCCCAGTCTCTCTGGAAAAGAGCAGGAAAAGCAGCAGTGCAGCACAGCACATCCCCAGGCTGCCTGCAGTCTGTCAGCAAATGGAGAGTACCTAATCCCTGAGCCTCTGCAGGGGAAATGCAGCCACTTAAAGCTCCAACAAATGAAAAACGAGGCAAGCTCTGTGGAGGAGTGCTTAACTTGAACTTTTCAGTAAATTGCATAAATGGCCCTGGCCAAGTAAGAAGATTACATTGAACTGAGATTAATTTTACTATAAAAAGTGAATGAGAGGTGCAGGTTCACCCTTTGGAAAGCTGATTTGTGGATATGGTTTAATACAAAGAAAATATAGTCTAGATTTCTTAACACCTTCTAAAACTCTAAGACAATAGCTTGAAGTGTAAAAGGCATTATTATATAATATCGTATATTGTTCTGATCTTCACCTTAATTCAGGTGTGAAGGAGATGCATTTTCATGATTAAGAATCCAATAGGTAGACCTCCTAAAAGAAATAACAGAAAAAGCCATATCATCTTTGATAAATGCTTATTTTGACAACTAACTAACTGGAATTGCCTAATTCCATTTGACAATTATTTAAAAGCTAAAATTATTGTGATTAAATTTAATATTTTAATTTATTTTCTCACATAAGATTAGAAAGTAAATCTCTATAGCAGCTGGTAATTTTCCATTTTCAGACTGGCTAACTGTTCTGAGGCACTCTTATTGTAACCAACTTCTGCTTCATGTTGTGCATAGAAAGGACAAGAAGACCTCTCCACCTTTTCTTACCATTAAAGGACAAGAGGAGGCAAAGTCAGGCACTACAGAGAAACAACCCATCATGAAGGTCATAATGAGCCAACCATCACAAGCCACAAGCATCCATAGCAATTCTCATTTATCGTTAGAATTTCTGGGGCAAATATCATGACAAAGAAGCTTTTTAAAGATTTTTAAATTGTCTGAGGCAATTTGAGCATACATTCAAGTGCAAGGTGAAGAACAGGAGAGGGAACAACAGTTCCTCCTCGGAGCACTTCAAGACAAGAACTTTAATGTGGTGGAGGAAAGGGAGATATATGCATGGGGAAAAGAGACAATTAACACAGGCAAAGCTGTAGTCTGTGTATCTGTCCCCTCAATGGGAATAAGCATTGTTGTCTTTATTAGCAAAAAAAAAAAAAAAAGCCAGTTACATAATGGATCCAGTACAACCACTGAACGATGTATGTGGATAGGAGAGGACCTGCACAAAGCATCAGCACATTCAGATCCTGTGTGGATGCAAGAATCTATTTTTGAAGCGAGGGTGACAGGGAGGATGGGTGTATCTATTAAAAAAAAATTAAAATACATCTCTTGGAAGAATGACTAAGAGCCTTCTTTTGGACTTAACAGATATGGAACATCTGGACATCAGTGCTATTACATCAGAACTGCAATTTGGTTAGAAATAGCCTGCTTCAGCACAGAAGGATAAAAGCCTTAAATTATTAGTATGAAGGAAGGAGTTGAATTTGTTCAGTAGGGCAAGACTACTGCAAAATAAACTATGAGAGAAGAAAAAGAGGAAGGCAAGAGTGGGGATGGTAACTGTGACATATAATGTATGTAGCAAAAATAACAAGGATATGAGAAGATAAAAGTGGCATATAGCTGTGTAATACACAGCTGGTATTGTACAGCCTCTGGCCCTGTTCTAACAGTGCTTCCACAATTCAGGACCTGTAAAGCTTCCACTGCATACCCAAAGCAACTTGTACATCACTTCTGCCCTTACTTTTGGAAGAGGTGTGTTAGAGATGTGCTGGAGTGCTGCTAGGGCAGAGCAGAGGCTGCTGAGTTACAGGGTCACCTCTGGTAGGGCACAAAGCACCCGTGTTCCTCTTAAAGCTGTACAGACAGCATGCCATAACTCCCATCTCTGCTTTTTCACTCTTGTTCTTCAGACAACTGTTTTTCTATGAAACTTCATTATCAAAGATTACTTGGTGAATCCATAAATGCCTCTCACCAAATAATTGATACACAAAACTAAATCCTACTTGATTTGAACTAATTGGTAGTTTCTTGATGTAGCTTTTTCTGTTTATCCTGTCACAGACATGCAGGATCTCTAACAATCAAAATCAGGCCTCCTGTTGAATTCTGCCAACAGCTTTCAACAATGTTTCAATCAAATGTTACTGACAGCTGGAATGTATTAGGGTCTCAACATCGGGCATAGGATCCTAAACAGCATCTTACTCTGTTACTTTGCCCATACATTTCTTAGGATCAAGGCTTAATTAATCAGTAACCTCCACAGTGAGCTTTTGGTAGGAAATATATTTTGCAGATCTGTATCACTGAACCTTCGCACTAACACAGTAAAGCAGGAGGTGAGTGATGTAACATGACCATAAATGTCCTGAGCATCTCCGTGGACATCCATGCACTGCTGCTCACTCAACTATTAGTATTTATTTTTCAAACTCCACATGAGCCAGAAGTAGAACTTTTTCTTATCTTGTCCATTTCACATTCCTAATTCCTATCTCTCCGTTTTCAGGATGCCATCTTTTGCTAATACCTGTGAGAACTGCCTCTATGGGCAATTATGGCATCTCTCCATAATTGCTGTCAAATCACGTTAACTATTTACTCCAGAAGAAATTGGAAATGACCGGGTGCTTGCTGGGGCAGAGATGAACATGGAGTCATAACAGTTTCTCATCACAGATAAGTGCCAATTCATTCAATATTAAAAAACAGAAGAGAAAGCCAGAAAAACTTTTGAGAATTGAAACTATTTTGAAAAGCAGGAATAATAAAGGCCTGTAATTTTCAGCTAGTTGAAAAAGAGTGTTCTGAAGTAGAGATTACCCATAATCTGCAGCTGAAACGAAGACCCTTGTATTTTCCACTTATTTTATCAGAAAATTTAGAAAACCTTTCTGCGTATAAATTTCTCCCACTGAATTTATTTAAATTGATGGGATTGATGTAGCACAAGCAGTGCAAGGGTACGATGCGTATCAATTTAGTTTGATGCTGTCATACAGTTCTGACTTGAAATTCTAAAGAGAGCTCATTTTAGAATTGTGGTATGTTTTAGTAAAACAAAATATATCCAGTTGGGTCTTTAAAAACCCACAGGGACTGCACAATCTCTCCTCTGGGGATATGCAGCAAAGGAAATAATGCCTTCCCTTGATTCACCAGCTGTGCTCCATCACTGCAGTGTGTGGTGCTGCTGCCTTCCCTTTCCCTCCCACTTCTGGTTCAGCAGAAGTAGCCAGTACTGCTGGCCATAAATTGGAAACTACCACTCTCAGAACCCAGTGTTGCTAAAGATAGAATAATTTTGCTGTTTGATTAAGTTTTTAAACTATTTTTTCCCCCTTTTCAAATAGCATTTATAGTTTTAGTGCCCCAGAACAAGAGCCAGTCCTTCGCATACTGTGGGAAACCTTTCTGAATGGTTTGTAACATCAGTACTTCCAGTAAATTAAGCATGCCAAGCTACAAAATGAAGACAAAGATTAATAGGTTTTTTTGTTGTTTTTGTGGGGGTTTTTTTCTGAGCATAGCACAGACAATGGGAAACACTGTGGCTGAAAAAAGTAATCAGCTAGCAAATTTTCACTGTTTAGCCAATGTCTTGACAGTTTTGATACATTAAAGCAATAATCTGTAAAAAGGGGCTATAAGATGAGGCTGGGAAATAAAATGCCACCTCTCAGACTGGCCAACTATTTCTAGATTAGTGTTGCATTGCCCAGCCTGCAAAGAGATTCTGCCTGCAGGAAGTCCCAAGAAGAGCTGAGCTGCAGTCAGACCAGGCCTATATTTAGCCTAGAACACCTTGGATAGCAGCTAAAGAGTAAAATAATTTGGGAAATAGCTATTGGGAAAACTGCAGTACGTCTGTCTCTACAGCCTGAACCAGCCTTGGCTTTCAGTGTGTAAGGTTACATTCCACAAAGGGAAACCACCTCCTTCCACCTCTTCCTGTTCCCAGGCAAGAGGGCAGGGTGGTTGCTGTCCCACACTCTCCTCCACGCTTCTCTCCTTCTGTCGGCTATGGGGGTTTGGCAATCCTAATTCTAAAGGGAGGGGGAAAACACGACAGAGGCAGCCAAGACCAAACCCACAGTCCATGTGCTGCTTTACCCCAATATACCGCTTCTAGCTTGAACTGCTCAGTGTTCTCCATATGGGAAAATATCACAGGACTTAAGAACTCCTCCCTCCTTTGTGGAGAGTGAGTGGGAGAGGGGCTTTCATGTCTGCTGTTACATCTTTTAGGGTAGTTTGGAGTTTTGAGTTTGTGTAGCATTTTGCTCCCTTTTTTCTTCTTTGAAGCTGCTTTCCAGAAGCTGCTGCCAAACTAGATCCAGAGCTATCAGAAACTTCAATCTAGTGCCGTGAAAATACTGGATGAGTCTTAACTATTCTCCCTCTGCTTAGTTCTGCTTACAGCCCGAGATATCACTAGTCCCAGATGCACACAGGAAAGGAAGAGACCCAGGATTCACCCCTTCCTGTGCCCACGGAGCAGCTTCATACCTGATCAATACAGGCACATTTCAGTACCAGGAGACAAGGACATGGTATTGCTCTAGAGGCATCAGTCATTCCTTGAGCCAGTTGCGGTCAGTCACAGGCAGCAGAGGATGGAATGCTCCCCCATCTGCTGTACCAACAGGAAGCTCTCTGATCAGTCGCTGCCTGTGCAGCTTATGCTGCTGCACTGGGCTGGGGTGACCACTCCTACTCTTGGGGCAACCACCTACACTCACTCCCCTGAGAAAAGCTCCTAAAACCACAATGCAGTGGGAGAGATACAGCACACTGGGAACAGAGAGTGGGAAGTTCCTGCAGGATCACAGGAAGAGGTCACATAACACAGATGTTTTCCAGTTCAAGCAATCAAGAGACCAGGAAGGGAAAGTAGGAGAAAGACAGGGCAAGCCCTGAAAAGGCTCACCTATCAGCAGATGATACCTCCCCTTCGAATTTCAGCATTTCCAGAATCCATTTCAGCAATGCTTTTCATTTTTCTCCATTCTGACAACAGCTTTAACTATAGCAAAGTTTTGGCTTGAGGAAGGCACATTCATATTGAAACCATGGCATTCTCTCTCATGTCAGGCAGGTCCTTATTTCCTACCTCTGCAGAGTACAGGCTGCCCAGGACATGGGAACTGGCGCTACTCGTGTGAAGACGGGGGGGCCAGGGCTCAGAAACTCCGCAGATGACCGACCTACCTCCAGCAGGGGCCAGAAGAGAGGGCCTAAGTGTCACAGGCATCTGGAATTTCACCAGTCCCTGCCCTTAGGCACCCACCTTCTCATCAGAGGAGAGCTCAAAACGGGAAAGGAGACAGAAGAAAATAAAACACATGGTTGAAGGGAAAGAAGGAAGAACCTGGACAATTCAATTATGCAAGCAGTCTGCATATGGAAATTTGAGTATCTGATTAAGTTTGGCAATGAGCATGGGGACTTCACACATTATCAGAATTAATGTGCACCTTCCTAGAGGACATGAAGCAGCAGTGTAACTAATTCATGTCAGATGGGATGCTAAAGTGTTCCCTAAACAAGAGATTTCGGTAAAAAGCCAACATCTAACAACAACAACAAATATTGCACAGGTTCAGTAGCAGCTATCAGTGCCTGGATGACCCTTCCATCCATGAATGATTTTTTTGCTGCTCTTGTTAATAGGACATGAAACTCATCTAAAACAGTAACTGGCGGTGTTATCTAAAACCTGTTGAACTTGCCATGCTAAAAAAGCATCTATTTTAAAAGGTAAGACTTCTGGTTGTACCTTTTATTATACCTTATACAGGTATACAAAGCAGTGCAGTACTATGGTTACTACAAACACCCATGGATTGATTTTAGTGAACTTTTCCCTTAATCCAAAATTCCTGAAAACGAGGAATCCTTAAGATCTTGCACCACCCCTCCACTCTTTCTGAACTACACTTAGATACACGTATTTGTTTGCAGGACAGTACTGCAGTCATGAAAAATGTAGTTTTTCAGTTTATTCTTGTAATTTACTATCATTACCTTTTAAGCCAGACTGCTCTTCTAATACACTAAAAGCTGCCCTTGGTAGGAAAAAAAGAAGTGTCACCCAAAAGGGTTTAATTCACTTTTCAGGCAAACCAAAACCATAGTCTGCACTGAAAATGACAGCCAGAAAAAGCAAAATCATATCACCACAGGTACTTGTTTTCTTCTTCCTTTTTAAACAGGCAACCAACTTATTTTCCCACTGAAATAGTTACACAAACAGTTACACTATCAAATCTGAAAGCTCCTCAAAATTTCCAAGTCAATGAAAGCCAGATTCTAGAGGGAGACAACATGGGTAAAAAAAGTATCAATACACATGATATTTTAATACAAAATATTAGCTTTTTTCTTTTTTTTTTTTTACACAAGTCAGTTTTTTTAAAATATAGAACCTTAAAAAAATGAACAAATTGCTATCCACACACTATAAACACTTGTTTGTGCTCAGTTTGATCAAGTTATCAGAACAATTTAAACACCAGTCCATAGTTTAAACACTGCCTTGAAGTTGGATGCGAACTATGCCGCACTGCGCGCTACCATTATTGTATGTACAGGGTGAAGCGCCTTCGGTCGGGTTTAATACGGTAATAAAAAACTGTTCAGTTATCAGGTTCTTTGTGCAAGGATTTCACATTCTACTCATGCTCATGACAGGTCTGTATTACATTTCAGTGGCACTGGTCTGAGCAAGCACAGGAATTCTGTGAATGTTCACCAGAAGAATGTCCGTTACGTGTTCTGGAAGTACGAGTTCTTCAGCTGGATAGAAGAAAACTTGTTAGTTTAGGGGAAATAACTAGCCTGATTAGCCAGAATTTAACAATTTCTAAGCACTGAAAGGCATTTTGATTTCTCAAAGTTGAATAAAAGTAATTAACTATCACATTTTCATAAAGATTACCTATGTAGCAGGTACATCTCAGGAATATTTGTAATTGCCCGTTTTTTGAACGCATAGAAAGGAAAAAAATTTCCCTCAAAGTTGGAGGTCTTAAAAGGTCTTGTTTTAGTAGTAAATCATCCACAAGTTGCAGGTTGTTAGCCAAGTAGATTTAGGATGATTTACTTGCATTACAGTAATTTACACAATTGAGCTTTAGGCATACAGTACAAAACTATGAACAAAAAGGTGAAGCAAACTTTTTTATTTATATTCAGGTAAAAACATTAACCTGATGAAGTAAATTATTGCAGATTTGAGAAATCAGCACATAAAACAGTTGGACAGAGCATTGCTTACAGGTGCTTTATCTGTGTCAAAAGACAAAGGCTGAACTGCTTGTTCCAAGCTAGCACTGGGGGGAAAGAAAAAAAGAAAAAAAAAAAGGGAGAAAAAACTACAAAATCAGCCAGGAACTTAGATCAAGAACAGGAAAACTGTTTACTCAAACAGGGAATGAAACAACTAATTTGTCTTTTAAAAAACTTTACATCAATTCGAAATGCTCTGGGCCTTACCACAATACACACTGGCCAGCCCAAGCTGTTGGACTTCAACTACATGAAAGAAATAATTCTTCCTTGCCTCCAGTACGAGGCTTTTGCTGCCTGAATCACTGTGTAAACAGCTCTGGAGCGCTCTGGTAACGACTGTCGCCATTATATCCTACCACTACAGTAAAACTATGCTATAAGAAAGGTTCTACCTAGTTACAAAGGCTGAATTATATTGACAATATATATTTGATTTCAGTAAAATTTAAATTATCTTAATCAGAGAAAGAGGCATGGAGCAGTTAAATGCCCATGCTAACCAAAACATAACAATTGTTGAATGTTGCACACAAAAAGAACCAAGTGAATTGCACATCAGACAATACATGAGGATTGGTAAAATTAGAGGCAGGTGAGGGTACACAGAACTAGTCTACTAAACTAGATTCGTCAAATACATGGTGTATTTTAATTTCTGTACTTATGTACAAAAGTTGTCTTTGGAGGAAAAACTTCAGACTTAGCTAGATGGATACACACAGCCCAGTATTAAACTGCACAGCGACATTTATTGTTCCAGCCTGGAAAAACATCCCTTTTTAAATTTCACACAGCAAAGCAAGTTAAAAACTTCACTCATCAAATAAATGATAATTTAAACAAGAACTTGCTAAAGAAACCTTGTCACAACAACTTTTAGGGCCTGATCACTTTAAGTCCATAGGGGCTTTTAATGAATATCAACCAAGTGTCTTTGTTTATAATCTGCAAGCCGTTTTTCTACAACAAGAAGGCGTAACACGTTTCCTTGACTCAGGTGATATATTTAGAAAAGAATCATGAGTTTCTCTTTTGCTGTAACAGGCAGACATTGCATTTTTCATTGTGATCAGGAAAGATGGAATGACTGCTGCCCTTCTCTCGCAGCTATCAAGAGTTTTTCACGCATTATCTCAATAGTTGAATAGTCCGGCAATTTGAGATAGTTCACACAAGTCATTACTGAGGGTAAGAAATCATCGGGATTCTCTGTGGACTCAAATGTCTTCCGTACAATCGTCAAGGGAGGATTCAAACTTCGAAAACCTAGTAATGAGAAAAGACACTCAGAATGAGGCTGCTCCTCCTGAACACCCACAGCTGACTGCAGACATGCCCAGTGACAGCAGCACACATCACACAACTAACTGACTTCCTAGACACCTTTAGGAGTTCAGAATGACTTTATAAAGCTGCACAAGCTAAAAATACTTGCAATCCTGCTTGCAGATGAATTTAAAATAAAGGAATAAGCTGGATGAATCTCCTTTTAATTGTGTTCTGTATGTGTAAAAATTCTATTCTAATCATAATATTTTTAAATTTGTTGGCTTCACACACATTTTTTAAGATTCTCGGGAATCATCTATGACTCTAGGACCTGGTTATTCTTACTCCAGCTATTGTTTCTATACTCCTAACACTCAACTGTGTCTGTACCATGTCTCCATAAAAGAGCTCCCAAAGTATACTTAGAAGAAAAAATAATCAAGTCTTTCTCCCAAATCCCAAAGAATGCAAATACTGGAACAGATCCATGAATTCTGTTTTCACCTGCAAAGCACTCAGCTGAGAATACAGTAAAATGTGTATTCTACAATGGTCCTTAGCAAAGACAACAAATTTCTGTTTACTGCACTTACCTACAGGCTGAACTTCAGAAGGGGGAGAAATTAAGTAAGATTAATACTATCCTAACTATTGTCTCCTTTCTAGAAAGGAGACTATTGTTTCCAGGTTATAATGCATCATTTTGTTGCCATAACTTAATGCACCTCTAGCCAAAAAACAAGAGTATTAGGAGCTTGCAGTTTTATTTACATTTTGAATTATTTTTACCTCTGACAGATTTTCTGGCAACAATTTAAACCTGGTGAGTCAACTTTAGGAAGTGTCATGAGATCAACATAAAGGTTATGAGAATTATACCTGAAGTCTGCCCAGCCACTTCTGAAATTAGAACTGTGAAACTAATAGAAACCTCTCAAATACAGAAGTTAAGGAATTTCTTCCTATACTGAAGTAAACACCTTATTCAGAAATACATCAGTAACAGTGATTTCATAAGGAAAACCTACCTCCTACAGGCAGTCTGGGGCTGCCTGTCACAAACTGAAGAAATAGTCTTTGCTGCTCACTATCAAAACTACTGAGAATTTCAAAGAGATACTTCACTGCTCGACTGAGGAGGGAAAAGAACCAAGAGAATATTATTTTGTTTACAGTTAAAATAATTGCATCAGATTCATATTCAGAACAGTATGAGCAATTTCAAATAAATGTCATAGAATTCCTTTAGCTTGAATAACAATGTATGAAGATTCTTTTAAGGAAGTATTTTCTACTGTTTTGGTTTTTTGTTTAACAAGACCAACATGGTATTACCTGTCATGTGTGTAACCGTGATCAGGCCTGCAACATTCCATTAGAGTCTTTGCATCCCAAGTGTCTGTCTTGCTGCCACACAAGAGCTGCTCCAACTGTAAAATTAAACAAGGAGTAAATGCCCCCCTTTGCCTTGCAAAGCACCAGAAACAGAGGAGCACCACAAAGGCTTAGTTAACACAGCGTTCCAAAGTGTGCTTTAATGTTTGTTCTTAAAGTCAAAAACCTGAGTTCATAAAGATAAACAAACCCCTCCTCAAAGTACAGTCTTCAAACAGACTCTCTTGAAGCAGAATAAAGCATTCTCTCTTCTAGTCCAGAGAACTGTAACTGTGACTCAATTCAGTCCACTTAAGAATGCTGAGCATTTTATAAGGAAATTGATGTGGTGGTGGTGAGAATAGAGCAAAACCAACTATCCTTGTTCTTTACCCCTTCATTTGAATCTCTTCTTACTGTCTTCAGCTTTGCTGAAGAGCTGACTACGTGTTTTATTGTTTTAATAGAAGATCCAGGTAGTGTCCACATGTATCTACAGCTATTCAGAGAACTGGAGAATACAAGGAATTAAGAGTACCCATACTCCATAGAGAAATAAAGCATGATACATAAATTAAAGCACTTCTTAGAAAAGCTGGATACACAATTTAAAGAAAATAGAGCTGTTCATGATAAAAGCATTAAATAAGTAACTACTGAACAGAGAAATCTTTAAGAGTTAGAGCGTGGAATTTCAGGAACACTCAGTTTTTTACTAACTTGCACTAGAAATGCAATGTCAGACTGTCACAAGCCCTGCACCCAGGTCAAAACTGCCCATACATAAAGGTATAAAAGCAGCAGCAAAAACACTTTCACCAACCTCTTCAGGATAGAAGTACTGAAGATGACTGAGAGGGAACACCGACTCAAATCCATCTCGGAAGGAGTCAAATTGTCTGGCAACACCTTCATTTAGTGCCCAGAATATAACCAACTGCAGGGAAAGAAAAAAGAATAAAAATGAGAAAAGCAATTTGAACAAAGGAAACATGCTATCACTACTGCACAGAAGAGTACAACTACAGAAGCCAAACTCTAGCAGCCCAGCCACTGGAGTAACCACAGGGTGCACACTGATTCATGGAGCTGCTCTACAGCATTGCCTCATTCTGCCTTAACTCATAATTTAGATTACCCTTAACGTGAACGTTTTGCAGAATTTAAATAGCTTTGCCTTTGCATTTAACAAAGCAAACAGAACTCAGAATAGCTGGTTAAACTGAACCTATTTAACAGAGTAATTTAAAGTAAATCTGAACACTTGTTATTTTTGGAAGCCTTACCTAAGTTCTCTCTCTACACCACTTAAAATGCAGCACCTGAAGCAGAAGTCCACAGGGCATCATTGACACTATCATCTTAATTTCCCCCATGGAAATATATGGATCCCTATTCTAACATTAAGTTTAAAAAAAGTAACTAGCCTGTTTGATATATTACGTAGCTTAATATTATAAGAATACATAGGAAGAAAAGAAATAACCTCATTTCAAGTCACTGGAATATGGTTAAGAATTGCAATGCAGAAGACAGTAAGACACTAATCTAGGCTTTTTGAAGGTAATTTTTCTGGCTTGTATCTGTACTCCCTCAACATTAAATTTACTACCGAAGTGGACAGCACATATTTAAACAAAAGTCAGTGGGGAGGAAGAAAGGGCATATGACACAAATGAAACCAGAGTTCTTTTTAAATGCATCTCCTGCAGCCAGTATTTCTCCACTAAATTAAGGTATTTTATGTGGCAGATGGCAGGCCAAGTTCAGATTCTTCTGTCATTCAGTGCTATTGATGATTACACTTGCCTTGGATATACTCAACTCCAGCAGGAAACAAGGGCTGGTTGGAAAAGATGTGTTGCCAACACAGAATTGCTAGTTTAAAATGTCTTAAAAGCTCTGGTCTGTGGTGCTGATTAAACTCATCTATGGATGCACCTGAACAGGATTAAAAAGTTCATAGGTCCTGCTGGAATCCTGAAGCAAGTATTTAACCCTATCCCAATAACTGAAGAGTTACTGGTTCCAGAAAACTCTCAAGACACAAAGGTCGTTAGGATCTGCTGATAAAGTTTTCCAACAGAATAGTCAGGCATTGCACTACTTTCACAAACCAGTTTTAGTACTGAAGAGGAAAGCAGCAAGCACCAGCAGCACAAAAAACTCTTCTACAACACAGAACAGTCTATGGCTATTCTAACAGCAGAGTTGCTTACCTACAATTGTGATTACTTTTTATGATCAAGAGCATGTGGCATAATTAAGCTGCACTGTATTCTTGCAGATTCAAAGAGAAGATCAAATTGCTAGACAAAAAATCTACACTACTAAACCTTTTTGTTCACAAATTTAGAACAAGTAAGGTGGCCTCTTTATAATACAGGGGAGAAGAGGAAAAAAAAATAAGAGAGAATAGTCTTTGACTATGTTGGTAATTGATGCAGTTCTACTTTCTGATAAAGGCAGCTCCTGTGGGAACTGTCTTTGAGGAGGAAAATAGGGAGGTAGAGGGAAGAGTGACATGATGGCAGGAGAGGCATGAAAAGCAACAGTAGGATATTCCAGCTTCATAAAATACTTGTCATGTTAATCCTCACAGAGGATTTTAATGAAAATTACATGTTCAAGAGCTGGGCAGCTGACCTAAGGGGTGCTATTCAGGTCAGCTGATCAATTAAACATTGCTTCTAAAACAAAATTCATCATACTTGTGATGGAGAGCACTCTGAAATATTTTCTATTTCTTTCACACCAAGTCTATGAAGCTATAAAGACAAAAGATAGGAAAAACTGCACAGAGATGCTTTAAGAAAATAGCTCCAAAAGTTTTTAGAAGGAGGACAGCAAGTTTTGTTGTAATCTCCTTTTCCTTTACAATGCCAGAAGCCTGCAGCAGGACAATTATAGGACATCTGAGCTATCTGTAAGCCTCAGTGTATCAGATATCTGATACAAGTTACTTAGGGAAGAAAAAAAAAAAAAAAGACTGCAAACTATGGAAATCAGACTGGAATGCCTGAATGCAACACTACTCAGTAAACAGACTGCAAATTCTTTCTAATAAACTGTGGAAGTTTGTATTTCCCCTCTGTTCGGTCTGCAAACAACTTTAGATCCAAGTGTACTTTAAATTCTGTAAGTGATTCTTGACTAGCAGAATTTACTTTTGACAAATAAATACATGAGAAGTAGATAGGTAACAGTTTAGAACTATAAGGTGAATAGAAACTGCTTAATATTCACTCATAAGGATCATGGAACAGCTTTGCAAAATTTCTCAGCTGATACACAGGAATTTTACATGACTCTTACTGAATTGTTTCTACCAAAACATCAGATGTAATTCTTATCAGTGCTTCAAAATTAAACAGTCCTCAGAGTGAAACTGGCAGTACCTAACCTGTCAGGAAATGCATTATTTAGTAACAGGAATACAGTGAACCTCACCTCCATCCCACTCAACTTCATGTGATACTGCATTCTTCCTGACTTTCCTCATCTCTTTTCCAGGCTGTTTTTAACCAATTCCCTTTATCACTTCCTTAGACAGAGACAGCTTCTTACCTTTGTTCAGCAATATCAACCTTCTGTTTTTCTATGTCCCTTTTGACACAGGAATGAATCAATACACAGGTGTACTGTCAATTTATTCTGGCAATGTTTTATCTTTTCCTTATTTATTCTTTTTAGAGTTTGGTTTTTTTCCCATATGTTTGGGGTTCTTTGATTGACTGGTTTGGTTTTCCTTGGGTTTTTTGTTCATTTGGTTTTGGCTTTTTGGACAAAAAACTAACACATTAATTTGGACTAAACTGCTGATGTTTTCTTAAGTCTGAGCCCAAAAAAATTACACTGCCATTACACAGCAGTTCAAAGGCCACTGGGTAGCAGATGCTACATCAGTATTGCTAAATGATTTGCTGAACCACTATCTCTAAGAAATTAATGATCATAACCACTTACAATACTTTTTCTCCAAGAAGCCAAACTTCTGGTGACTTCATTACATATAAACAAGACTTTTTTTACTACACAATTTTCAAGTCAGGTGCAATTAGAGTCTAACAGTTTTACTGTAGTAATAAACTAGTACAGGAAAGAAGTCATAAATAGGAAAATTATTGTCTTGCCTAGTTCATGAGAATGAACTGAAAAATATATGGAAACAAATATCTGGGAGCAAGAAAAAAAGAGAATTTTAGTCATAGGTTTGCTTTTACATACTCTGAGATACTCCTCTAAATTGTGGATAGTGACCGGTGTATCTTTTCCCCCTTTTTTCAGCTCTATATTGGGAAACCCAGGAAGTGTGAAGTCCAGCCCTAGATCTTCCACTGAGCAGCCATTCATAGTCAGAGCTTCCAATGCATACTGTAGACTTTCTTTGGTCTAAAAATTGGAAGTGAAAACCAATGAGAACAATTAATTCAACTAAACTTATCCAAAAGTTATGACTTCTAAAGCAGCTTTGACTAATCAGACATTTCTGTAAGAGCATGACCATCAAAACTGTTACAGCTCTCCTTGCTTTACTTCTGGAGTTTTCATACATAACAATAAGCCAAGAGAAAGCAGATAAAGAAGCTTCATGGATAAACTGGAAAGATCACAAGAGTACACTTTTTTTCTAGCAGTTTTGGAATTACATAATATACCAGAAGACAAACTAACTAGAAAACACTACTGCAAGGAAAGGAAATGTGAAATATACTACAGCTCAGAGGCAGTTTTTTCCTTAGAACAGTTAACAGCATTCATATCTGGCATGCATACTGACATTTTTCAGCTTTTATCCACCAGGCTTTTCAAATTCTTGGGAAATTAAAAGCTGTGACCAATGAGAAAGAGTGAGACAATGAGGTAAAGAGGAACAAAGACCCACAAGCTTGCAATACTTCCACTCATCACAAAGCAGATGTATTAGGAGTATAAATTAGGTTATTACTTCCTGCCATCTATTAACACTGGATGCTAGAAAAAGCATGTGTGCTAAAGACCTTTTACCACTAGTGCCACAGTGAACTGTGGTATTTTTAGCTAAGAGCAGATAACCTTGAAAAATTAATCTGTGTCTGAAAGAACATGTATGCTCGTGCATGATGATAGTTCACCTCAATTTTGTATACAGCTCTTCATTAAAGAAACCCCCACCATTCTACATAAAAGGCACTTCTATTAAAATCTCAAATTTTGATTAAACCAACTAGTAAAAAAGCCCAACTTTTGACCATTCACAAAGCAAGGACAGATTTTTTTTCCTCTGATATTTAATTTGGTTAGTCTTTTTAAAGTGAACCAAAATAAGTTAGGCAAACATCTGGCAGTATTAAACATTTTTAGACTGTGTTTAATCACACAGAAGAATCTCATGATGAATTTCTCGTGCTAGACTTCACAAAGGCTGTTTTATAATTATCAGCCACTGATCTAATAACATTAAAACTACTTGTGAGAACAAAGTAATTATCACTATTGCAAACAGTTTCAAGCCCTATGATGTTTTGAATTACTGCTATTTCATAAAATCCAAACGTGTAAAAGATGCACTCTTCCATTCTTAGGGTTACTTTCCCACCTGAGTTTTATCCTGTTCAAGTCTTTTCTTTTGTCTTACAATATCTTCAAGGTGATATATTGATTTGGCTACTACTGGATCGATACTGAACAAGTCATGCGATGTCAAGGAAGTTTCCTGTCGTAGCATCCACTTATAAAAAGGAAGTCCAAGAGGAAGGTCCACCTGGAAACCAAAGCACTGAACTGTTTAGTATTCAACTGTCTTCCAAAAGTCTCTTTTACTACTTCATCTCTTGACCAGACCTACAATACTATCTCAGAGTTCTGACACACCAAAATTCCATGTCCTAGTGTTTTTGCCTCAGAAATTTACAGTCAAGAAAACCCAAGTGACTGTCTAGTGCATATACATTAAAGCAATCAGCAACTGGAGTAATGAGCCCAAAACATTCTTGAAAGAACACTGGAAGGAGATTGCAACACATAGAAGATACTGGCTTTTCCTTTCTACTCTATGGTCTCAAAAGCCACTCTAAAGATCTTCAACATGTATTACACTTTCCTCCCACCAAAGTGCAGCTGCATGCTCATCCTCCTCCCTGCCCTGCCTCAGACTGCCCTTACTTCTAGAGCTGAAAGTAGTATCATTTAACTCTTGATGCTTTTATCCCTCAACAGTCAGAACTAATATTTTTATGTGACTCCTCCAGAATAGATTTTCAATTTCATTCTCACCAGTCTGAAGTCCATGATTGCCTTGGCCATTAGTTTTCCCAGAAAGCGGAACTTCATTTTAACTTTTGCAATGTGAGCTGGCTTGGCTGTTCGACCAAAAGGAAGTGCAAAAAGGCCTTGAAGGTTATGAATATACTTGGTACCTTCCTGGCTTCCTATTAAGGAAGAAAGAAGTAAAAAAGAACGAGTTCAGTATTTATTCTGCTAGTTTCTTTCAAGATGCAAGTGGCATTCAGATAACCTTAACCTAAGCATCTTTGAAAAAAAGAACCACAATCAAATCACACACAAAAACCCCAATAAAACCCATGAAGACCCACACATCAGGCACATCATCCACACCATCAGCCACATTATCTGACCACAAACTGAGGTGCTCTTTACATAACTAAAGTCAACTTAGAATTAATTCAATATTAATCAATCTTCATCAATTAGGCAGTAGAGCAATTACCTTTTGGATTGGCTAAAGTCACTTCTTCTCCCCTCCAAAGGCCTAAGTCTGCTCTCTGTAGTTCCTGAGATACAAGTGCATAGAACTCTAGTGTAGGGCCTAGGCCTGTGCCAACCTTCAGGGGATGGAGGGTGAGGAGAGAGGAGGAAGAATGAGATAGAAAAGTCCATTAGGTCAGTTTGAATATAAAGATTTTACTTAGTCTGACAAATATTATACAATATTTGCTATAAAAAAGATTGCAGGGCAAAAAGCATCTAGGGAACCTAACTACAGGAACATTTACAACGTGACAGAGGCAGCCTGGAAAGACTACATACCAGAGAAGTAACAGTGGAGCAAAAGTATTAACCACCTAATGACCATATTATAGAGAAAACACACACAGCTCTTTGCTTAAGAGAAAAAAAATGAGCTCTGCTGACAACTGCTTATGAAATTTAGATCAGAAAGAGCTTCTCCTAGCAACTAAAAACCACTACCAAGTGGATTAGGGATAATTAAAGGATATAATTCTTTAGCATCAGCAATGTGAAAGACAAAGGGTCTGATCAAGTAATTTTAGGAAAGCTGTAGCTACTTTGTATTAATCTTCAGCAAAAAGGGGTTAAGTTAGACTGCATTGATATTACTTACTTCATTCTCATACTGGATTTCCAACATGGCTCTTGAACTGCCTAGATCCTGCATCACAGATTCTGCCTGTTTCAACAGCTCATCTCTGTTCACAGTGCGCTACACATTAGAAAAGTTTTATGTAGTGAAATTATGGCTTTAAGTTCCAGCTCCCGAGGCAGTTACAACAGGTAAAAATCAGTTATGCACGTTTTTCCACCCCATGCCAATAGTTCCACAGTTTGGTTCAATAATTTGTTAGCTTATGCTTTGATATAATAATTCTTGCTTCTATATGAAAACTGTTTAGAACTAATGTGTTCAATATAAAATGAAAAAACAATGCCTTACATTTACATCAGTATAACTAACAGGTACTATTCTTGCCAAGAATATGGCAATAGGACTATGATACAGCAAAGTATTGTCATGTGACATTATATATGTCAAACTAATATGTAGAAAAGAAAACAGTAAAGATGCTGGAAACCCAAATGAAAACCCCAACAGCACTGGGATTCCTGCATGCAGCTATATTATTTTTGAACTTGATTCTCATGTCTCCTGCTGTTTTTCCCCACAGGTATTCAAGATCATATAGCATATATAGCAGATCTTATTTTAAGATAATGTATCTCCAGACTCAAGGCAGACATCCAAGACTCCCTCAAATTTAACACTGTCAGAGTTTACTTTTATTATGTTATGACAAGTGATTTACCTTCCCCAAACACAAGGACAGTATTTTTGTTTATTAAAGGTCTAAATCTCATTACTTGAATTCTTCTGCGAATCAAGCAAAACAGAGTTCTACAAGCCAGTATGTGGAAATACAATGCCTAAACCTCTGTGTTCACTGGGAGTTTAGCTTCAGGAATTATGTCAGGGTGCCCCTCCCGCCCTCATGTGGCCGGCACAGAGAAGACACTGCGCCTTCTGCTGAGGAACTGCAGGAACAAAACCCACCTCCCCTTCTTCACTATACCACCAAAACACCAAGTTCTACAAATAAGCCTTGCTCACAATGATATTCTTAAAGACAATATAAAAACACATAGATCCTTCAATCCATTTTGAACAAGATGTACTTACTTTTTTCCTGTCCAGCCGTGGTGCCACTCTGCTATCCTGAGAATCCGACTGATTGATTTCTGGATTTGTATCCAGCAGCCTTTGCATGGCTCGATCACGATCAAAGGCCGTTACATAAAACAGCATTTGGCGGGTATCAAATGGAAAGAAAAACGGGCTGTGAAGAGCATTGGATTAGTCAGCTGTGTTCCAAGCAGCATCTCTGGCTAGCATTTGGTTTAAAACACAACAAATGTACTATATCTGAAAATAGTGCTTTATTACTCTCTGTGGTGAAAGCAGGCTCCAAATCAAGCCCTCCAGGACACACTTTAGTTTTAGTAACAATGCTCAGGAACAAGAGTTTTGAGAAATGCAATATATGAAGGAGACAAAAAATTCCAGAAACTTTTGATTCTTCTTGAAAAGTAACTCAAAATACTTGAATTCCTTGGCTGTCCAAAGTTGACATCAGAAAATAAAATTCCTTGTTCACTACTGTTCTACAATTAATAAATCCAACAGATCGAAGACTTGAGCTCAAGCTCCCACATTTGACAGCAGAAAGACATGAGAACCTGCCTAGAGCAGCACCACTATTCTACCTTCCACCATTTGCAAAAAATACTTGAAATAACCTTTGAAAGACTACCACAGAAACTCCTTGTCTAAATTTATCACTTCCAATATTCTCAAAGGCATGTGTATGCTAACAGTGTGGTCCTCCATTGGCATTAAGTGAAAAGGCAGTTTTACTGAGCAAATAATGCTACACATTCGTGCTCATGATACGTGGAATGTTCATGAAGCAAGTTAGAGATCTTTTTTTTTAAATGAAAAGCCAAAGAGTTCCTCAGAAAAATGCATTTCCACAGTCATCACCAATATTGCTGCAATTAACACGCTTGAAAAAAATCCAAGAATGTCAACTCTGATTTCTCATTCTTTCAAGTGTAAAGCAAGAGCTTTACAGCTTGTACTCTGTATCAAGGTATGACAAAGTACTATGGAAAACCTTCAGATTGCTCAGCAATTCCTGTAAGAAGTGCTCCAAACTCTGGATATAGTCTGCTCCTCGGAATGTGATTTAAACTATGCAATGTAGGTGTGAACATCCATTCAAGTATCACTATGTAACTTGGCAATACTTCTGTCACTACATTTTGCACTCTCAGGAGTCCTGTAAGGATGATGCACTGTGCTGCCCAGACAAGACTGCTCCTGAACTGGAATGAGAGACATTAAATAGCAAACATCATTCATACCATGTTTTTCCAAGTTCTGTCAGCCAAGTTGGGATGTTTCCTGTCATAATTACCAAAGGATCCTGAAGCTGCCTGTTTGCTTTTGCTGTCAGTTTACTGTTGATAAACTCCGAGGTTGGAATTATCTCCTTGCAGACTGCATTCTGTGTTAAATAAAACCAATGTATTTCTAGTTAGAGAAATGCTGAAAGGAATAGCAAGTCTTGGTTAAAAAAAATGTTAATGCTTCTAATTTGCTTATCATGGAAAGTAAAAAAACTTTCATTGCTGTTTCATTCATCCAGAGTCCCAGCTATGAAAGAAGGACTGAGGAGATGTTTACTACTAATTTCCTGTTCAGGGATAACGTTGGTCTTTGAACTTAAGGAAGGACAAAACATGGATATTGTGTTCAACACAGTATAAAGAAAATATGACCGACTTTAAGAATTTACAGCTTTCTTCTCAGATTAGAGAAACATGTAGGGGAAGATGGCAGTATTTTCTTTATTCTGACTTCTTGAGGGGCAGTGGACAGCAGGAAAAGGTTATTTAAAATATTACAGATCGTTCTGTCCTGAAACAAGTATCAAATTGATTTTAAAAGCGCTCTACTCACATCATACAAGTAATACCAGTATCGACTGATAGCATGTAAAACTCTCAAAAGAAGAATAACATCTAATGAGGGGTCTTCAAATGTTATATTTTCAGGTGGAGTAGATATGAGGTAAATTTCCAGAGGATTTAACACCGAAGGGCATACACCATCTAGCAGAGAAAAAAAACACATTAGCAAAACAATTCAATTAGACGTTTTCCCAAGACTTAATTATTAGGCAGTATTAGCCACGGCATTTACTTAACTACAACAGTTCAGTTAAACAACTCACTAAGTAACTTACTTTTTATTTTAATAGACAGCTAAAAATATATGCTTACTATTTTTATACTACATCTGCTTTAAAAGAAGCACTATAGTGGCAGTAAACATTGTGAAAGTTCTGAAAGGACTGAGAGGAAATCTAGCATATAGCAAGGCACCACACTCACCATGCCACAATTCATCATGTTTTTTAGAATTTCTAGGGGAGGTTTTTGTGGGAGCAGTTTGTGCTCTTCCTCTTTTACCCCCAACACAGTCCTTATTGCCATCTTCATCCTCTCGCACAGGTTTGTACCTAAAAAATAAAGAGAAGTCAAAAATGTGTTGAAATGCTAACTTACAGGGAAACAAAAGCACTTTTAAAGCTATTCATTCTCAGATTTCCAGAACTTTACTTGAATAACAGTTAAAAGCAGAAAAGACAAGAACATTGCACTGGGATATGATCTAGCTTCTGAAGCAAAGTATTTCACAGCAGAGAAAAAACAGGGATCCTTTGCCTCCATGAACTGGAAGGAGAGAAGGTGAATGTATATTAACAAAACACCAAAGTGACTGAAGTTAGAGTTAGGGTTAGGTTAAGTTTTAGTGTTTTTTGGTTGCTTTATGGGCTTTTATCTGTTTGTTTTCTTCTTTAGCACATTTAAATGTTAAAAAGAAAGACTACTGAACATTAAGATGTTCAGCATACTCATGTGTCAATGTTTCTTGCAAAGCATGGTCAAAGAACACACTCTCATAGCAATCAACTGGAAAAATTACTATGAAGTTGACCATTAGTTAGTTGTATCCTGCACATTCTCTACTGTTTGTGGTCAGTTACCTAACACGAAGAATGTTTTCTCCCCATCTAGCAGGTGTCAGTTAAAATTTCCCATTTCTTGTTCACCAGCTTTACTCAGGAGCTAGCAATGAATTCTTACTAAGTTTTAAGTATCTCAAATTCAGTTTTAAGTATCAGGAAATTCAAAGCTCTACAGTTTTCAAAGGGATGAAAACCAGATGGACAGCTATAGTGCAAATTTCCTGTATATACATTTAGTAAACTGGAGAAGCTATTCCCAGATTTCTCTAGGCAACTCACCAAATAGTGTGCGTTTTTGTCCAAATCCCAGCTCTTCCCAGTGGGTTGCTTTCATCATCTGTAGACTCTCTTTCTTCCTCAGCTTGTAAACTGTACTGCCTGACTGCCTGGTACACAGTCATATTGTATGGCAGCAAGTGATCTCCAATGTAAAACTGTAATCTATGTCTCACATTCCCTGAATTTAAGAATTGAGCAGCCTGAATGAAAAAAAAAAAAAAAACACACAACCACACAAGTTAGGAAAGCTAGGAAAGTTGTTGCACAGCTTTTCGTTAAGGCCCTCCTCATACTTAGAGAGCAAAAGCTTACCAAGGATTCATCTATTTCTTCATCTGACCCATCATCATCACTATCTTCATCATCTTCTCTAACTCTTCCATAGCCTAAGGCAAGAGAGGAATAAGGCATCCTCATTTGCTTTTTTTCATGAAAGGTAAGAACACTTTGGTACTCTGACTGTTATAACTTCTTAAACTTTAAAACAGTTCCAAAATACATCATTTAAAAACGGTAAGAATCAGAACTGCTAAAACAAATTACAGTATCAGCACCTGGCATCAAAACTGCCAAGCTACAGCCAGTGTGACAGCAAAGCAGTAATACTTCTGTTAGCATTTTGACTGAACTGTTTACCATAGGAAACAGTTTGACCCAGAAAAGGAGGATTCTCTACAGCTTTAATATCCTCTCTTGTGAGCAAGGTACCTTCACAGGTACCTTCCATTTGTCTTCAGCATAATCCTCACAGGTTTTTACAGACTCTACACTGACAGCAGGAACTATTCCAAAAAGGAAAACACGAGAGACTGTATAATATATAAATACCTCTAACTACAAGATATCTTTCAATGGCTTGTACCAAAGCCAGAGGATCAATCTTCACAGGTCCACCTTTCCACTGTTTCACATTAGCACAGTCTGGATGTCTTTGCAGTTGGCATTTTAACTGATGTGTATTGAAGAATTTTAAAGCTTGAGATCCTCTGTTAAGAGAAAAACTCAAAATAATTTGTGAAAAAAGTTGCTACACAAAGAATCTAATAACCATAATTGCATTAAAAATGCAGTACAATAGTAAATATGCATAGTAAAATGTGCAGTGCAACAAGGATCAGAAATGCTCATGGAAAATGCAAGTATTCATTTCAATGGATTTTTTTTTTTAAAATAAGGACCTAAAGAGAACATCTGAAACCTCCACTTTTTTCTTGCCAAGAAAAATTTATATATACATTCCACCTCACCAAACTATCAATACTCAAGCTAGCTGGTTTTATACAACAAGCTTCTTATCCTGGGCTGCTTCTATTTCCAGGTGCTAGTAAAAGACTGCCAAAACTTAATGCCTCAAAATCCTCGTTGACATAATCCACAGTAAAACTTACAGTCAAACAATGCTACAGGACTTTGGCTTCCCATGTTTCATTTTCTATCAGAAAGAACAACAGGATTTTGCTTCTATGATTTTATAGTTCTGGTAGTTATCCCACTTTTTACAGAAATATTATACGTAAAGGAAGAGATTACAGAGCATATACGATTTGCAAAAGCTAGTATAGAGACACTAATTTCTTCTAATAAAAAATCTGTGTAGTGCATTAATTCCCACTGATTTTAAGTTTAATAAAAAACAAGTACTGAATTTTAATGTTAGTTAGCTTAATGCTATAGTATGCTCCAGTACATCAAATGGATGTTGGATCACAATTAATGAGAAACAGAAACCTCTCCTCACTACTTTACTACCTGAGACATAGAATACCTTTGGCATTTCTAACTTTAAAGAAGAATTTTCAAAAATTCATTTTCAATGCTCCTCCTGTCATGTTGAGCTTTTAGCTAGCACCAAAAAATACTTCCAAAACTTGTATGCAGCAGTACTGAAACAGATTCACTGCTATATAATGAAGAAAACTAGTGTTGATTTATTGAAGTATAGAAAAGAAATTGTAGAAACGGGTCTTTAGTCACTCAGATTTTGTTACTTAAAACACAACTACCAATCTGGATTCCAAATTTATTCTGTATCTTAAGACTCTGGGCAGGTCTAGAGCTATTTTAAACTCTACTAACAGCCAAAACCTATCACTTAATCCACTATCATCCTAGAGAACAGAACCTATATGAATAACGAAGTTGAGCACTGCAATACACTCTCTGCGATTTAATTACTCTGTTAAAAAACAGTGTCCAAGCAATAAATAGGTTGTTTCTTTCCAATGTTTGTTACACTGGGACAAGGAAGACATTTGGATTTTTAAAGGGTAAATTTAGAGATTGTATTTATCTATCAACCCCAATTCAAATGAGACAAGTTTCAAGATGGCAAGCAAATATTTAGTAAAATATTCCATCTTCCACTGACTAAAAAAAATCGTGTCATTGCTTTTGTCTTTAACAGGGTCAGAAGTTGCCATTACCTTCTCTTCTAATTCTACTTTTACTTGTCCTTTTAGTGTTGTTTGAAACAAGTTTCAGAAAACAAAAGCTTCCAACAGAACTGTTACCTGAGCATTAATCCTTACCTGCTCCCTGTTCCATTTCCACTAGGAAAGTCATGCACTTTAACAGGAAACTGTTCCATCTGACTGAGGCAGTTGTTCATTTTATGGACTAATGCCAACAAAGGTGCATTTTCTAATGGCTCTAATCTTCCAAGGGGCTCTTCTCCAGGAAGCTGAAATATAGTCCAGTCTTTAGTTGCCTGCTTGAATTACAGCATCCTAAACAATTTGTACCATAAGTTAAGAATCCCTACTCTCAATTAAAGTAGTAGCAGTATTAGGATGAGTAAATGACGTAAGTTTATGAAAGACCTGCTTCAAAGAATGCACTTTTCTGTCCTGGGTTAAACTGAATAGCCCAACAGATTTTAAGCATTTACCCTTAACCATGAGCAAAAAGCCTTTTTGAAGTTTTAATTATCTGCTTTCCTCTCTTCCAATTCAAATTCCTTCCTTTAAACAGAACACTAGTTCCTTCCAGTATTTAGTCCTAAGTGATAATATTACTATCCAAACTCTTTCCATATCAGCTTCTAAAAAGACAGAAACAAATTTTAAGTTGTTCAAGATCAGATAATCGGCCATTTTGGCATTTTTTCCACTGCCGTGTGGAACTTTCTGTAATTACAGGGTATTCAAAAAAGTTCATGACCTATAAAGACATTGAACAATGTGAAAGTTGCAGTGTCATACGACTTAGACATAAACGTAACGTTTTTTCTGTATTCCACCTTTAAGATAAGGTCAACACAGAACTTCTCAGATGGTTTTTTGAAAAAGGAAATTTGAGAGAAAGACAACTAAGAATGCCAAAAATTAACAAAAAAACTTACTGGAGAAGAAAAAAATACATGAAGAAATCTTTTCAATCTGATATCCCTGCTTACAGCTTCTTTTTCACTTTTAGATGTCAAATAGAGCAGCAGTTGTTTAACAAACCCACTATGCTGGATTTCAAATGAGGAGACGTCAGATTCCGAGACAATGCTACGGATTTCTACAAGGCACTCTGTTCCACCATCCACCTGAAAAACACGAGAGTGTGTTTTACTACCCAGAGATTAAGGGCTTAAGAAATGCTAGTTTTATTTCAAGTGCATGGAACAGCTCTAAAAGGAGGGGGAAACAAGGTTAAGTCTGGAATGTACAGTAACTCAATACAAGCAGCAATGTAGGGCAAATAACCTGAGGATAAGCACTTCTCTGTTCAAGGGGAGACATTAGAGGCAACATCTACATTTTCTCTACTTTGAGAAATCCAAGGTCCCATTTCTGTCTTATGCAAGGTAAAGATAAGCTCCAAGCAGGGGTGTTTTTCCTGTTTAAAAAGAACCCAACCAAAACCCCAATAACTCAGATTGGTGTATGTTTTACGTGATCTATGTGGGAGAGAGGAGGAGGGGAAGTTTCATATTTCAACAATTGCTCAGATCAAAGCACTCAACCAGCTCAGCTCCTGTGCTGGGTTTAGAAGTTACATGTTTGGACTACCTATCACGGACCACAACTGTCTAAAAAGCAAGGCTGAAGTTCTTGACATGCTACCACATTTACCCCAATCTGTATTTCTTCGATCATTTTAATAAAATGCTGCTTCCCTATCCTTCCTCAACTTCTTATTATAAATGGCATTGCTGTTTAAGAATAAAGTCAATCCCTGACATGTAACTGCAGAACTTTTGAATTTGAAATAAAATGCTATGCAAATGCCACATTGCTAGGACTGGTCTTTTATCATAAGTGATGTGTGTCAGAGCTTACACACTCAAAGAAATTACTCCAAGTCATAATGACTCATAAGTCAAGGCAAGAAATTACTCCTCCCCCCCAGTAAGTTTGCCACTTCTAACCTGGAGGTTGAGTTGTTCAGTTGCAGTGCAAAGTCTCTGTAATACATTTAGTGCAGGATTGCTTCCATCCATGTTTTCAGAACTAAAGTAATGTTCTACAAATTTATGGGCTTGCTCCTTAATCCAGCCCTTAATTTTTTCTCTGTAAAGAAGCACACAAAAGGTATTTAGGCATACTTAGCATTTGCATACATCAATATTACAAGCAAATACAACCTGAGCATAATTCTTTCCATGTTAAACAGCAGCCACAGAAAACCCTTTGCTTTTACTCCAACACAGACAAGGACTTTTCTCTAGAGATCACTTCTTGCATTGTTTTTCTCAGTTCTCCAATTTCTCCCCACCATGCAACTTGAAACTATTCAGATATTATTTTCCCTACCTTAATTTCTTGATTCTTTTTTCAGATTTTTTTTAAAACTGTAGTTAAGCTCCAACTCCTTTGTATCTACTACTTAATCACCTGATCATAGTCAACATCACATTACAAATATTGTGATTTTTTGTGCGTGTACCTGTTATTGGAAATGGTATCCTTGGAAGCAGCCCTTGCAAGACCACTCACTCCTGCTGTTCGTGCTGGTTCAATATTATTACTGTTGGACTGTGTGCTTAATCTTCCCCATGTTTTCGGATTTAAACTTGCCAAGAAAGAAGATTTAGGAGACTGAGTAGTTGTAGGGCTTTTAGCTGGAGGAAGTAAAGACAAAATTTAAGAGAATCAACAGGTTTATTACAGCTAGCTATTTCTGCAATTTGTAAGCTTACTTTAAAAGGAGATAAAGGTATCATACTTTAAGAATTATTTACCTTGATTGTCTACTTTGTCATCATCTCTTGGAGGGGAGTATTTTGGTCTCCTTGGCCCTCGTTTTGGCAGTCTTTTTCTCTTTAGAACATCACTCAGTCGTCTGTCCAATTTTAAAAATAAAGATATTTATTTCCACCCATGAATATAAACTCATGTACACACCTCTCCCTCAGTTTGAAATGCATCTGCCAACTACTTCCTCGAGAATTAAAGAATGGGTTCCATCCCATAACAAAGGCATTCCCTTCTCTAGGAGCAGGGGCCTCAACTCTACAATTGACAGGACAAACTCCACCCAGAAAGAAAGGGTTTTTCTGGTTGTCATCTTTCTATTATGAGCAGCCAAATAGAGCCAGAGGCAACACAAAACAGAGGTTCCTCATGATTTTCATGCTTTAATTTGTCTAACCATTTGATCACCCATTCATTTGAATACACTTAAAATGAAAAAAAAATTCCACAAATCTCTACTGAATAAGCACCAACCAGCACTGGATATTTGACATGCCTCCCCTATAAATGCCCAGAAAACACTTCTTCAACCATTTGTGGCATTTCTACTCAGCAATCACTACATTTCAAAAGATCACATATTTCAATTCCTGTTTAAAGTGACAAATATTTGACCTTTTAAATAAGAGCAAACTAGTAATTTATTCCTACACTGTACTTAAATTCTACAAGTGTTCAAAGTGATTGCCTTCCAACAAAACTTAATAAGGATAATTTCTTTTTTCTCCAGCAGAAAGGAACCATACCCCATAGCTCTGAAATAATCACTGTCCTCAACAGTTAGATGAGACTACAGGCTGCTGCTTTTGACATTCTCCCAAGACAGAAAATTATTTAATATAATTATGACCTAACTATCAGATCACTGTTTTTTTTTTTCTTTTAAACATTTAATATAAAATGAATCAAAACTACCCATTAAAAATTCAACACCATTCCAATTTAGTTCTTTAGAGGAAAATACTACAGCAAAATGCAGATGATAATGTGGGCAGCCCATGTCACTCTAGATGTTTTTGGTTTTTTTTTTTTAATAAGAAAAAAAACCCCCAAAAGCCCACAAGAAAGCACCAAAGCCAGAAGGAACAGATCACTTTTCAGGAAGTGCACTTACCCCTGTGGGCTCAGATCCAAGGAATCCTCCCGGCTGTGCTGCAAGCTGGGAGAGCCCAAATCTGCAGCTGCGTTGCTGGCAGCAGTGGCTGTCCCAGTACTTATGGTCGTAGTGGCTCCCAGCGTTCCTGAACCATTAGTGCACACTTTTGGGGGACTTGTTAGCAAAGCCTCAGACTCTGCCAAGTTTTTCACTTGGTGCATCACCCCTTGGAGAAAGAAGAGATCTTTGTTTGGTGGGTGGGTCTGGGGTAGGGGGAGATGAGGGGGTGGTAAAGACATGGTGGCAGGAACAGGGGCATTTGAAAATGTAGAACTGACTTATTTGAACCTCTGCTTTGACTATGGCAGGATTTGCTCACCCCACCCATCAATACTAAGCTTTAAAAGCAGTTCAATCTTTTCTTCAAAAAATTAACCTACAAATCGTAAAAACAGAAAATTAGAGCTGTATGAACAGTATCTAAAGAAACCCCAAGCACAAAGACTAGTACAAAGACTTCCTGCCAAAGATTCACCAGTTTTCTCCACTAAGAATTCCCATGTAATTTCAGTGAGCCATCTTCAGCCTAAGCGAGTTCACTAGTATCTAGTAAGCCTGTACAAACTTGCTTCACATTCTGGAAACACAAGCTCATCTCCTCCCCAGTAATATGAGGACAGCTTGCACAGATCCGCCTTTATTATTCAAGAACAATATTCAGTTTTCACAGCTTGGGGAGAGTGGACACACATCTTTAAAATACTACATAAAGAGGTGAACAGATGGAAAAAAAGAAACCACAATTTACCTTCTCTTCTGAAGTAAACACTAAAAATGTCAGGTAACTTTTGCATTAAAATCTCCGCCATCTGCAGGGCTCCAACTACTATCTTAAGGTCTTGACTCGACAGCATGGAGGCAATATGACTAAAAAAGATAATTTATTAGCATTAGCTTTGTGGTTTTTTGGCTGGGTTTTTTTTTTTAAAGCAAGTCAGTTCATCCTGCATACACAGCACTGGAGACTGAAAGCAAACTAATTTTATAGTGCTTTTATGAAAACTATCAGTAAAAAGAATGAAACAGGTCTCTTCCTACCTGTATTACTTTTACCATGTTTTAACGTGGCATAAAGGAGAGAGTCATTTATAAACACAGTGTTCTGGAACTTGGTACTATCTTGGAAAAACTATTTGGTATATTTTCCAGTTGCATCCTCAGATCTCCAACTTTGTGTGTAACATGTACAAGATGTTTCATGATTAAAACTTACCAGTTGAATGCTATTAGTGTCTGTTAGTGCTCACATTTTATTACCTTGCCCTCAGAGCTATCTTGCCCTCAGAGAATTTCATAGGCAAGTCTTAGAAATAAAAACCAATAAAGGGTAATATTAGACTCCTAGTACACACAACCAGAGGCCACCTAAGTTTCTAGTAAGAATATCTAGCATTCACAACTATTGCAAAATCTATGATGCAAAAAAATCCTGCAGAGCTGGTAGCCTCAGTTTTTGGAAAATAAGACTTGAAAAATATCATTTTTCCGTGGAAAAGATGATTCAAAAAAGTAATCACAAGTTTGAGCTGTAAGCTCAAAATTAATTTCATTTGCAGCAGTTAATGAACCCACCTTGAAACAGCATGGTTTTTCAGCACATCCTTCAGAAGTTCAGCATCAGCAAAATAAATTATCCTAAGAATTGCTCTAAGGCACTTGTGTCTAACAGCAGGTCCAGCTGAAGAACTATATACTTCATAAAGAACACCAAACAGTGTTTTGATAAAAGATTTTGCCAGTTCTGGGTCCTCTTTCATTAATTGTGCTCGAGCATCATCCTTCTTCAATTCCGAATGTCCACCTGTGAGAAAACACACAACAAATCACTGGACAGATCTCTGCATCTCTGTTGTCATCATCAGTTTTCTTTTGTTAAAATCTATTTAATTCAGCTCTCAAATTGAACAGATAAAATTCAGGAACCGGAAATCAAAGTGAGTAAAGTAGGTACAAAACCTCCTCTTTCAGGAAGTTTAATTTTTTTTCTTCAGTTCTCTTACTCATTTCTGTATAATAGTAAGAAGCCCACATGGAGTCTTGGTTAAATAAAAGAGCTGTATGAATAGAATTGTTTCAGAAATCTCAAGTCAGGAACACCCACAGCTCCCTCCCAGTTCGATACATTTTCAGGTCCCAGGAGGATTTTACATATGAAAAAGCACACATGTCAACAGTATGAGTATTGTTATGCAGCTTTCTTCATGTACATCAGAATAGCTTGATGTTCCACAGAAGCCATAAGAAATTCATTAGTTAAACAGTAAACTGCTGCACAACCCAGCATAAATTAGCCAGAGCTAGAGCCAGGTGTTTCCTGAGCTGTACTTACTAGTGTTTGTATTGGCTAAAGGGTTTGGTTTTCGCTGAATGGCACGAGCTGTTCCAGTATCCTCATTTATTTGCTGCATAGAGTTAAAATCAATAGTATAGACACGCCCAAGTGTAGATAGGCTTATCTCATCCTCACCAACCTGATGAGCTGCCTAAAATCAAGGAAGAGTTTAAAGTTAAGAAAATCCTAACAAACAGAAAACTAAATGAAAGGTGAGAAGGATAACACAGTAGGAAAAACAGTGACAGAAATACAGTAAGAACAGCGATTAAGTGATTTGGTATGGCTGAACACCAAAATAGTGCAATATTACAGCAGGATGTTTGAGGAAACTTGTGTTTCTTACTCAGAAAGATCAAGAGTGATATTTTTAAAGACAGAGAAAGCACTCAGTTCCCTATACAGTCACATGCAGATTTGAAAAGCATCACCACACAAACGTGTGGAATTACTACCTCTATTATTCGACTATCAATCCTGTTATAGGGATGCCAGAGACCCCTGTCATCTCGCCATTGCCATATTGCACCATCTGTATTTTGTGCATTTCCTTTCTTTAGCATAGTATCAACAGCAAAGATTCCCTCTTTTGGCAGGCAAGGCATCAGTTCACTGTAAAGAACATTAAAACAGTATTTTACTAGAAGTATACATTCAAGTCCATCTAAGACTGAAAACTGTTTGCCTTATTTTAGTGAAGTTAAGAATTTTAACACAGCAATCATGCCCAAAATTCAGGACTGCAAGACTTACCAGATAAGAGAAGTAAGTTCGTAAAGTTCTTGAGGACTTCGTGGAACAAGGTCAATTTGTTCTTGACAACCCCCATTTGAGGCTCCACAAAGGAGGAAGTGAAGCGTTTCTGCAATATCTATAAAAATTATTATTCATGAGACTGCCTGCATCAGATATGGATTCCATTTGCTGTTGGACACTACACAGAAGAGATAGTTACTACCCAAAGCAAATAGAGAGTAGGACAAAAGTGTTTCTTTGAACACATTTCTTAGTGTTTCTTCTCAGGTCTAGGGTTTGTGGCTTTTTTGGGGGTTGTGTTTTTTTCCTTTAGGGGACAACTAGGGGAGAGATACCACTAAACATACAAGACACAGAAGAAAACAGGGAAAGATACAGGGCAGTGGAAGCGGTCAGTCAAAATGTGTGAGAGATGGAACAAAGGAAACAAGTGACAACTAAGACAGCTCTACAGCAGTTACTTTTGTTACTGTTTTACCCTTAGAAGTTGTAGTTAGAGCACATGATTCCCCCACATGGTAAAAACTAAGAAAAGAATCATTCAGCTTGTGCTGGAATGAGAGTAGTTTGTGCAGCCAATACAGACTCAAAATTAAGTGAGCACTGCAATGACAACAGCTAGAACTAGAAAAAGGATAAAAACCCCTCTGGATAAAAGCTTTCAACAAGTTTAGTTAAACTTTTTATCCCAGAGGAAAATAGCAAGAGAAAAATTAGAAGAACAGAATATTTATATAATCAAGTGCATAGAGGTCCACACTGACTGTAGGCATTAATGTGAACAGGCCCCCTAGAACATGGAAGAGCAAGAACTCACTTTGCTTCATAAGCTGGACTGCAAGTGTGGGGCAGTTGGAGCACATCAGGGAGAACATGCGCACCACCATGATGAACATTCCTGAGCTCAGGATAGGAGGTGTCACAACCAAGAGCTGCTGGATATTTGTTAACAAGTCCTTGGAAGCAACCTGCTGCAGCAAGTTCTTCAGGAGGGAACAACAAAATGGGAAACATTAGTCCTTGAAACGTGAGCCCTCAAGACAAACAGGGTGGGTGGACAAGAACGTAGAAACGCACCCCCATCCACACTCTTACCTCTTCATGCTGGAAGTTGTCCACTAGCCGTGCAAAACACAGACAAGTGCTTTCAACAGACTTTTTGTCCTGTTATAAAAAAGTTTTGTTTAAATTGAAGTATTTTAACTTGCATTAGAACATCCTTATCATTTTAGGCATTCAAAGAATTTCTGCAAAAAGGCCAGTCTAATCACATTTTACAGAGTACTACAGCTCTGACTTTTAAATTCACTGACAGTCTAAACTGACCTAATGACACAGCTGTGCTTCCTATATATTCCCTGGGAAACATCCCCCACTTGCAACAAATACCTTTAGGGACCTTTAGGGATGAATAAATTGATCTCTAATATTCTTTTTGGATTCTGCAATGAGTAAACAACAGGGAAAAGAGCGACAAAGCCAAAGTAAGAGCAGTTAAAGACAACAAGCTGGAGTGAAGGCTGCTGTTCTTCAGACTACATGAAGCCTAATTTTGATATTGTAGAGCACAGACAACACAACAAATTCAAGGACACAAGTAAAGACTGCCCTGAAAATAGCTCTCGTTAAAAGCTCCGTGAAATGCTCAAAAAAGTTCACCTTTCATAAGTTCAAAAAGTTGACCTTTCACCTAACATAATCAAACACTAACTGTAAGGGTGGCTGAGCACTGAAGAGGTTAGCCTGAAAGATTAACTCTCCATCCTTGGAGATACTTAAAAACAGAAAAACCCAACATCTGGACATGCTCCTGGGCAATCTGCTCTAGCTCACCTTGGAGGGGAGCTAGGACTAGGTTACAGAGCTCTCTTCCAATTTCAACTATTCTGTTAAGACCTAACTCAAGATTCTTTTCCAGAAAACTTTCACTTCAAAATTTCTTGAAATCTTACTTTGATGGGTTGTAGCTTCTCTTCAAAGATCAGCATCAGTACTTGCCCCTACTACTGGTGAGAATGGTTCTTCCTGTTTCTAAAGTACAATCTAAAGCTGTCATTTGGCTTCTTAGAAGCTGCCTCAAAGATTCAACTAGTCTTTCAGCAAGATGATGTAGGCAAAATTAAGAATAGCACAAGAATACACAACCATTACCTGGAAGCTTCCAATTAGTTGCATTTGTTAACAAACAAAATATTTCCCCTTTTTCATCTTTTTAACAGGGATCTGCCAACCAAGCAGATCACAAAAATCTCTTTGGTGCACCAGTCATTGTAAGTGCTCATTTATGAGCGAAGCAGCACTGCAGAATGCGTAGCCCTTAGGAGCCCCTTGATTTCAGATTCATCACTTCAAACTATTGTACAAAAGCAGAAGTTTTTTAAAATGCCATAAACCACCCCAAAAAGTTAAAGCACAAAAAAACCCACAAAAATCAGAACTGAGTGTGTTCCAAATTTGAAGTGGGAGAAAACCTTGCAACCATCTGTTAAGAAAAAGTAAAACCAGCAATGCTACTGGACTTCCTCTTACTAATACCTTTGTTCTTACAAGGACTACAAAACTATTACTTCATGCTTTAAGTACCTTATTTGTCTTGTTTTATAAAATGTCACGTTTACAGAACCACAAAAGGTCCATATGTACATTGGTATATCACAATTTGACAGAATAGAAACTTCCTGTCAATTATCACCCTGCAAAGGCAAATAATACACAGAAAAGAACCAGGTATCTGGAGACATCTTTGAACTGCTTTCAAAATCAAAAGGTTCCATTTCTTAACTTCTTACCTGATGGGTTAACCTTTGTGTTAGCAGTGGCAAAGAGTCTGCCACAAAGTGAAACTCATCAGGTGTTATACTCTGGCAGCAGTTGGCAGCAATAGCTAGTGCATTCCTTTGTGCATTTATACTGAAGAATTCCAGATACAGCAAACAGTCTGCCAACCCACCCTGTAACAAAACAGATAAACACTTTCACTCTCAGTACTGCTGAAGTCACAGAAAGGTGTTTCTTTATTTCACCTTCACAGAAGATCACCAAGATGTAGAACTGGCAGAAGCAAACTGCCTTTGTTTGGTTTTACTTACTGCCTGCAGAATGGCTTTACTGTGCCTGCGTGACAACATCTCCAGGGCTGTAAGCGCCTGCTCTGCCACATCAATGCACTGGATAACTTGCAGCTACAAGAAAATAAAACAGCTTATACATCAATTTCTAAACTGATTTGCAAAAATTATCTTGACTAGCACTCAGACATAGAGCCTCTACTAAGACACATAAGAGCTAATGAAGCCAGCTCTGACCAAGCCTGCCAGTTTAAGGCTACCTCAGCCATGGAGCTACTCCAAGAGGCAACAGCTTACTTAATTATACATTCTGTATGTTTGCAACACCAATCCAATAAAAAGTTCTCAGTGAAGGAGAAAGCACTTTTCAGTAAGGGTGGGAGCAAAGATTAAGCCAGGCTTTAGAAATTTCTCACATATTTTATATCATCTTATAAGCCACGAAAAGAAGCCATCATCTTAATGGCATTTCTTAAAGCTAAAACCAAAGATAAAATCTCCTCATGCTGTTTTATCACTATTTTGACTTCATTTTACCTTTTCCAAGAAGACAGGAATTGCATCTACCACTACAGCAGATGATCTGGGAAGTGCTTCCATCATGTATGTTAAGGCCCGACATGCATGATTCATCTATTAAATATACAGATATTTGATTTTAAGTTCAGATAACGTTTTTATATTTCAAAAGCTTCTTAAATATTACAAACTACTTACAATGTCAAAGTTGTGCTCCATCTGCAGCAGTGTTATCTGTTTAAAAAAAAGTATTGTTTGTTTAGAAGAATGTATCTAGATATTATCATAAAAAGGGTATAAATCACTACTGTAGCTTTTGATTCAGGATTCTGAATGTTAGTAAGAATTCCAAAAGAACCATTACCTACCCTTGAGCTATTAAATACTAATAGGACTATCAATTTAGCAAAACATCGTCTTAAAACCAAATAGTAAGACATATACACACACTTACAAGTAAGACAACATAAATAACGATGACTTAATTTAAGCAAGACATTGCATGAAATATTATATCCTCCAACAGAAATCTGAGATTAAATCTTTACCAAAGCTGGTACAACACTCTTGACTGGAAATCCTCCTAATGTTTCTTCATTTCCCATAACCAACAGCTGGCACATCTCAATCACTGCCTGTAGCTGCTGACTTTCATCAGTGGCTTGGAGACCTTGTAAAAGCTGTTGAGCTTTAGAACCTAGATATCCAGAAAAAAAATTAGGAAAAAAGGTATTAAAAAGTATTCAAGGGATCTGCTGTGCTATACTTCTGCCAGAGTGGAAGACCAGAGATAGTTTGTTTTCCTCTGTATTTGTAGTTTCATTTCCTTTCCCTGTCATAAAAAGGGGGAATAGGGAAGGGAGACAAAATCTCACTCTTGGCTGCCTTTCCAGTGCAGACTGGTCAGCACAGGGAGTCCGCCACACTGCTCAGCACAGCCATCTTGCCAACCTACAGCAGGTGCCAGAACCCAAGCCATCCCACCTCTGTGCAGCAAAGGACTTTGCAACACCCCCGACAATACAGCACATGGAGCACCCGTGAGACCCCATCCTCTTCTTGGCATGCAGTGTAGCAGACTGCCTCTGGCTCTTCTGGGAAGCCAGACTTGGACTGTAAGGTGCACATCTCATCCAGCTGCATAGTGCAGACTCGGTGCAACAAGTCTAAGGACCCACGTTCTCACTGAAAACATCTAAAGGAAATTCATTCTGTCCGAAACCTAAGATACTTTTGAAACTAAAACAAACATAACTTAGAACTGACATCTATTAAGCTAGCTTAAGCATTTGTTTAAAGCTAGCAAAAAACCCAATGGGGTTGGAGAGGTCTTTTGTTAAGCAGCCCATCATGCAAAAGAAAAGATAAGGAGGGGTGAAAAGGCAAGAACCCTCCCTTCCCCACCTAGAAGGGAACATTAAGATGCCCCAAAAAAGAAAAGCAAAGAAATACAGCTAAGGCAAATTTTTCTTCCTTAAAGGAAGACAAGCAAATTACAATTGTTGACAAGTAGTCTAGCACTACCATGACATACAAGTCTCCAACATGTAAAATACTATATTAAACTATGATGCTAATACAAATATTAGATTTACTATTGGCTGAATTCTACTAGTCTGGAAGTGGAAAGAATTAAGTCAAATTAGACAAACTTTGCTTACTAGCTCCACTTCCAATTGTCCTGTGGAAGAGCTGCGACATCCGAGGACCAAGAGGGCCAAACAGGTGAGGAGGAAGACCCCTAGCCTCTAATAGAGCTAAAAGCAAACAGAGGATAACAGCCATTGTCAAAGCTTCTATGTATATTTTTTAAAGCTTAAATTCCGTGATGTTATCATTTAAGACTCTAGAATTTTGATACTTTAAGAGTTAGGCTTAGATGATTGCAGCTACCTCAATTTTGAAAAAACACCAAAAAGATGACCTTAAAGGAACAAAGCAAGTAAACTAATTTTAGTTTGTATCAGAGCATTAAGATCCTTTATGAAGTCACCCGCTGAGTTTCCACAGCTGTGTATTTCACAAAAGTAATCTAATCTATTGAACTCTTACAAGCCTAGAGCCAGAAGAGCAGATACATCAGGCTGCAATTTCAAATCTGAACTCAAACTACACAGGATAGGCTAAGCTTATCTTCATGTTTCCAGGACCTGCAGGCACTACTATGAAAAAAATGACACTGAAAAACAATTTCAACATGTGAACATATGTTCATTATGTGTTGATGAGCAGGGCAGGGAAGAACTCTGCTACATATTAGCAGATTTCTCTTTTGATTGATTTTCAACACTTTACAGCATTGTTACTTAAGCAAAACTAAGTGGGTGATTCTAATTTTTGTTGTAGCAACTGCGACTATTGCTGATCAATAAAACAATCATTAATAGTGAAAACCAATTTAGCCCAATATTCTTAATGCATACCTATACTTACTGAAAACTATAAGCAAGTGAACTGATACTGACAGCACTTACTTCCACATTAAATATCCAGATTAACAAAAACCTATCGTTTGCAAGGGAGATCATCATCTCAGGACTGCCTGCAATGCAGTAGCAAAATCATGAGACCAGTTGCAGGACATGCAAACTGAGTTGATACCTGTCGTACTCTCTCGTTTTGAGAAACCAGAATCCTTTAGCCCAAGCACAAAAGCAAGCATTTTAAGAACATTCAGATTTTTCTTTTGTCAAAGCCTAGAGCAACATGGGTATCAATAACAAGCACAAAAAAAAAATTTGTTATCCAGAAGCAGGCAGAGTATACCTAACCTGGCCCAACCTAGCCTCTAACCTTAAAACATGCTTGCAAAGAGTATTTTCATATTTGAGCTTACACACTTAATAGGACTGAGTTCTCAGTTCTCTCTCCCCCCACCTCCTCCTAGAAAATCATCAGTAGTAGGGTATTACACACCACTTAATTAAATTAATAAAGACACTATCCCACCCTCCTAAAGACATCCTTGCAACTTTTGTGAATTAAGGCTTGTAAATCCCTACTTCAGAATTACTGCAAGCAAAACCACATTCACAGACAGTGAAATAAAATGCAGACTTCCCAGCTGAATGTCATACAGAATTTGTGTAGGTATGGTGATTTATAGGCTAACAACAAAAAAAGGTAAATTAGAAACAACTTTTATACCTTGTAATCTTCCCATCTCAGAATCATCTGACTCGCTTTCTCCAGAAGTTGTCATACCTACAGCTCCAGCAACAGAACTAGAAGCTAAAGAAGCAATAAGAGATAAAGACACTGTAACTTGTATTAAAAGCCACAAAACTCACATCAGAAAAAGGCTCCGCCATCAAAAGCGCGCTCTGCATTTAACACTGCCACCAGCAAACTCCTGTAAAACTTCCATTTTAAAACAGACCAGCCTAGAGGACTAGTACTTCCCAAACGCTGAAGAGAATAGCTTTATCAACACAAGATAATGAAAAAAAAATACAGCTAAGTCCATAAAATTATATTTCAGACAGATTTACCTGTATCCTTAATAAATGCATACTTTTCTTAATTAAGGCATTATGCTGTACTTAGTTTTCATTGCTTCTTTTTGCACTGATGTAGCCAGCTCTAAGCATAGAATGTTTAATACTTCCTACCATTCAGCATAATTACTGCACAGCTCCTTTGAGCTCACTAATTAGGACCAGATGATAAAATTATCATCTAATAGAACTATGCAAGTAACAGTATTCAACTTGGCCACAAATATCTCCAGTACAGACATGCTTGCAATTTCAACAGAAAATCTAGAATATTTATGAGTAGTTTTAACAGAGCTTTTACAGGTAATGCATGCCTTCTGTATTCTGAACAATTTGATGTCTTTTCAGATGGTGGTATTTATGTAGCCTCAGCTGAAGTCACTTTTTTGAAAAGTAGCAGAAGCTTAAAAACTAACATCTGGATTACTGGATATAGTTTGGATACTAGAAAAATCATAAGTGAAACATGTACCAAATCGCCAAAGAATCAATCAAATGTAAGAGTCCCTCTCACTCACAAAGCTTCTAGCATTGTTTTCCAGCATAAGTCATTTCTCTTCAGAACTTAACTGATTTAACTGTTTTTAAATGCAAAGAATTTTATAGTAACAACTATGCTAAAAATTCTTCAGGTGGAGTTCCTTCTTACCTGCAGCTCCCTGGGGAGGGTCATCTGTCCGTGCAGCTGAAGAGTTAACTCCATCCTGGTTGTTGTCAGGATCAGCCATCTTCTCCTGTCGGCGAGCTTCAGCTGCTCCTCTTTTGCCCAGGCCAGAGCCTCGCCGACTAAAGGTTCAAAATACAAAATTTCAGACTTTATGAACTAAGACAAGAGATTTATTAATATAAGCTTACTCAAGACTGCATAATGCTCATGCAACATCACTGCCACAACACTGCCCAAATGAGTGATTTGTGGAAGAATCAATTTTCCCAAAACTATCCAACCCTTCTGTAGACTCCCTGCCCTGCAGTGATTTGTATACACGAAGGCATTACAGACAGGTCCTAACAGTATACATTTCAATACCAGGCAGTCTACTAAAATGTAACAGCAAAAATGAGCAAGCTTAAAGTAACTATTAGTTATAATTCACATACACATTTGAGAAGGCCAATAATAGAGCAAATCATGTTTAGAGGAAGTTCTGAACTACTGAAAGCAAGAAGAGGACTCTGACATTCATCTTGGTTTTCAGTGTCAGAACAAGTTTGAGAGGATGAGCCTATTTAGATTTGCAGTCTTAAATACTACAGCCTTCATCACTACAAATACATATGCCTTCAAAATAAACAAATACACACATGACAACAAAACAAAGACTTCAGAAGTGTTTTTAATGGTGTAGAAGAGGGAAAAGAGGATGTGCTAGAAGTACTAAACAGTCTAGACATAAGAACAAAAATAAACCTCGTTAAGCTTCCTTTATCTAGTCCCACAAAATATGCAACTACAGAAGTTTATTGCATCACAGGATACATTAACTGTGCCCTCCCATTTAATCTACCAACTGTTTAAAATGACTAAGTCGGGACTACTTCTCTGCACCAGGAAGTACATTAAGTACTTAGATGCAGATCAGATGAAACTGCTGACAAGTTGAGTCAGGTTAACCGTGTACCCTATTAAAACTGACTTCTGCATGGTACCACAAAGTTTTATTTTTCAAAACAATTATCTATGTCACTATTCACGATGGACAGTAGTTCAGCACTACTGTCTGTCTTCTTAAACACCTAAGGACAGGATTACTTCAGTTTGTGATTCTGGCTTTGGCTGTTTCACTTGCTCCACCTCCACAGCTGAGGGACTTACCCTAAGTCTGATGGTGACAAATCCTATGTGCTATCCATGACACCAGTGTGCAGAGTAATCCAGCAGGCCTGAAAAGCTACAGGTACTTTTACAACAGCCAAGCCAGAGACAGACAAGGCCAATTTTCATGCATGAAATGACATGAATACCAACTCATTGTAGTAATCAAGTTTCATTTCCCTAAGTTTTACCTGGTGCTAGCACAGGAGCCCGTGGTCTTTTGCCGTGTGCTCCGCCGTAAACTGGGGAGCTCAGCAGGTGGTGATTCACTGCGCTTCTTGGTAGATTTTCTTAGACCTATGCAATATGTAAAGAATTGAGAGTAAATCAGTCTTTAAATACACAGCAGTTTTATAAAGGAATTGAACTTTTGTGTACAGGAAACCTCTACATAGAAGTACAGCTTCTACATAAGAACCACAATAAGCCCACATCAATTTCAGTCAGATTACACTGAATGCTATACCAGTAATATAAAGGTTCAGACTCATTTACTTTCACTCATGGAGTTAAGTAATAGTAACCTCCAAGTTTTTATGCAGGCACCTTTTACTAAACTATATACTACAGATATCTTTCTCATGCTAAATACGTACCACATTAATATTATTTCTATGTTCAAACAATTAAAAGAAGATGCTTTAGCCTTAAACAGAAAAAAGAAACTACATTTCGAGAGGGAGGGCAGTGGTGATTGCAATCTCAACTTTTAGTCAGTTTTATTCACACTAATATGGCTTAAAAATAACTGTCTTCAATCAGAACCAAGCTCTCCTCCAGGAGTCAAGCACTGTCAGTGCTGAGATTTATCCCATGTATTATTTGTGTTCCTATTTCAACTACAGCCCTTCAGCCCCTCTTAATGTCATAATGCCATCCTAGATGTAAATAAGCAAGCACATCCTGACAGCTTTGAAAAAAAGAGTTCCAGTGTTTAATTTACAAGCATTTGCACTGTTGAAAACTGACCCAATTGATAATCATTTGCTCTAGGTGACAAAGCCTTTGTTCTGATAACATCCCACCACAGAACCGAACTGAACACACAAGAACCCCATGCAATACAACATTCCCAGATAATTGTCACAAGCTTACTACCAGGTTGAAATATCCAATGACAGCCTCCAAAGCATAAAACTGATAATTTAGGGTAAAAACAAAAAGCTTTTATCAGGCCCAGTTTAACATTGCAGTGACCCCATCCACACTCCTCCACAATAAATAAATATAACAGAAGAGAACATCATAACATTGATTTCAGGCTATTATTACTAGAACAGATGCAAACAATTTCGAAAAGTAAGTTAGATCACTGCTCCCTCTTCTGGCAACAAAGCAGAAATAAAACATACTTAAACATGAAATGCATTTGAGTTCAGAAGTTATCAACTTAGCTCCTATCTCCTTAATCCTAAAATATTCCAGGAATGCAGAGTTGTGGTGGTACTGAGGGATGAAATGACAACTCTGACTGCATATTTAATAGAAAAGGAAAAGTGATCTATAAAACTATTACTGATCTGGCCAAGAGTGTGTCCTTTCAAACACCACAGCATATTTGACCCAGAAACACAATGCTGTGTGCAGTTGAAGTCTATGCAGATGAAGGTGAACCTGATATTCATGTTTTTACCACACACTTGGCTTAGCAACTGAAGAAATTTGGCAACCTTAAGAACAACAATGTTCTGTATTTAAAAGCCACCAATCACTGAACTGAAGCAGGCCAGACACTTGAATTTCCACATGGTCTGTACATATAAAATACAAGTAACTTTTCTGAATTAAAAAAGCAGTGGCATTTTTCCTACATATGCTTTGAAACCAAAACTGTAAGTTGAAGTTACCACAGCACAGTGACTCAAACCTTACTTATGTACAGTATATGTAATACTTGGGGGGGGGGTGGCAGATGTGACAGGAGAAAACATGTCATAAGGTAGAGATACAAGACAAAACTCATTTGAAATGGTTGCAGCAGGATCCCATGCCATAGCTACGCTTCTCAAGCAGTCAGAAGTACAACGAAACATCAAAATCTCACTCAGAGCTGGTTGTATTTTACACTAGTAAAATGTATTCTTCAACTGGCATTAGGTACTACTCCACAGGTAAAATGTGTTTGTATCTCAACTGAGTTAAGCTACACCTTCTCACATATAACACATATTGAAAACTAGGTTACTCAGTACCTATAACACTATGGTGAAATTGTAAGTGAAATGCACTTTTGCTTTACATTAGAAGAATAAATTAAATCATCTTCACACAGTAGTGCTCACTGGGGAAAATAAGGCACATTTTCATCCTTAATGTCAGCACACCATTTACTACTTCAAATCTGTGGGTAGTCATTTTCACGTAGTCAAACCTAAATTAGCTAACTTCATATTAGCTTAGTAATTGGCTATTGATGAGACACCACACATCCACTGTAAGAGAAGACTGACTTAACTTCTATCAAAACAGGATTTCTGCTAAGGGCAAGAGTTTCACAAAGCAGCAGAGCCAGCTCAACAGCTTACTGTTGTTTACAAGTATGGCTCATCCATCTCTTGTTTTCCCCAAATCAATCCCAGATGTACAAAGTACACATCTGACACACACTTTCCTGTTTTAGTATTCTGCCAGTTTGGTGAGCAGAGCTTGACTAAGGGTCAGATGAGCCCAGACACCAAGCAGTAGGGCAAAGATGCAATAAAATGGGTTGTCCTTTTTCATAAGTGGCATTAAATAAGCTGAGCCATCTCTTTAAACTGAATTATCTCAGAGGGTTATACAAAATGTAGTTACCCAGTTACTGCTTGGTGGGTAAGCTCAGAAGAACTGAGTACATTTTCTCCTGCTGGCCAAGAACGTTCCACTTGTCAGATCCTTCTATGTGTTTCTTTACCCACCTCCCTCTATTAATTCTACAGGCTAAAAGAGAAAGTGAAGTCTTCTCACAGCATGTTCCTTTCCTGCTGGTCGATGCCACTCTGCCCTTAAGAAGCTTTCTTAATCAACTTTAAGTCAATCTTACCACCTGCATCTTTTGCAAATCCTTCAAGTCTTCCCAATACCATAAACTTCAGAGTAATTTCTAATTTCTTCAGACTGAGCCTTCTTCCTTCCACTCACATTGTCAGTAAAATTCGGGATGGCTAGCACAGCCTTGAAACTGGAGGTTAGTCCTGTGTCTTTAGGAGTTGCAGGAGGCTGAATGTGGCTAACATGCACCAGTAAATAGAGCACAGACAGTGTTCAGGAAAATGAGATTAAAGATGCCCTGTGTATGCCTGATGGAGGAAAGCACCAGTCACACGTCACAGACAGCAAGGCTCTCAGAGGAATTGGTTTGATGTTCACCTCCAAAAGTTGTTTACTCAGCACTATTCCTGTAATACACAGAGCAATTGTCACAGACTCAAAGAAAGGCTGGGGCTGAAACGACCTTCAGAGATCATCCAATCCCACTGCTACAGCAGGTTCACTGGTCATGTCCAGGCACGTTATGAGTATCTCCAGAAAAGCAGACTACATGGTCTCTCTGGGCAGCCTGTTCGACTGCTCAGTCACCCTCAGAGGTTTTTCTTCTTATTCAGTGGAACTTCCTGTATTCAGTTTGTGTCCTCTGCTGCTTGTCACCACCGAAAAAAGTCTGGCCTCAGTCTCTTGACAACCACCCCTGAAGTATTTGTATACGTTGATAAGTCATCTTTTCTCCAGGCTAAACAGGCCCAGATGTCTCAGCCTTTCCTCATAACCATTGCTCCAGTCCCCTCATTACTTTCATAGCCCTCCACTGGACCTTTTCAATAGTTCCTGGTCTTCCTTGAACTGGAGAGACCAGAATTGGAGACACTGGCACTCCAGGTGGGGCCTCACCAAGGCAGAGCAGAGGAGCAGGATCAACTCTATTGATCTCTCAGCAGTGCTCCTCCTAATGCACCCAGGATTTTGTTGGTGTACTTAGCCACAAGGGCTCACTGCTGGCTCATGCACCACCTGCTCTCCACCAGGGCCTCCAGGTCCTTCTCCACAGAGTTGCTTTCCAGCAGATCAGCTCCTAACCTGCACCAGTGTGTGAAATTATGCCTCTCCAGGTGCAGGACCCTACACTTGCCTTTGAACTTCATTAGGTTCCTCTCCACCGAACTCTGCAGCTTCTCCAGGTTTAACTGAATGGCAGCACAGCCTTTGCTGTGTCAGCCACACAATCTCACTTTTGTACCATCAGACTTGCTGAGGGTGCACTCTGCCCCCTAATCCAGATCATTGATGAACCAGTAGAAAAGGACTGAGCCCAATATTGACTGCTGGGCAACTCTGCCAGGTACAGGCCTCCAAATCGGGCACGGTGGTGCTGGTAACAACCTCTGAACTCTGCCATTCAGTCAGTTCTCAACCCAGTTCACTGACATTCACCTCACCCACACTTCCTGAGCTACAAGGATGCTACAGGAGACAGAGACAAAAGCCTTGCTGAAGTCAAGACATACAACATCATCTGTTCTCCCCTCATCTACTCAGCCAGCCATTCCATCACAGCAGACTATCAGCCTAGAAGAGCATTATTTCCCCTCAGTGAATGCTGACTATTACTCACACTTTTCACTTCACGTGCTTAGAGGTAACAATGCAGGGTAAGTTCCTCCATCATCTTTCCAGGGATGGAGGTGAGACTGACCAGCCTGTAGTTCCCTGGGTCCTCTTCCTTGCCCTTTCTGAACAGACACTGGCTTTCCTCAGGCATCTCTGCTGTTCTTCATGACCTTTCAAAGATGATAGAGTGGCTCAGCAGTAACATCTGCCAGCTCCCTCAACACTTCTAGGTGCATCCCATCAGGACCCAGAGATTTGTAGGTGTCAAGTTTACCTAAATGATCTCTAACCCAAACCCCTCAAAGAAAATCAGGCTTAAGCATTTTATTTGCACCTGCAAAAACTTCAGAAGCAAATTTCAGAATTAAAGGAGAAGCACACGCTTTCTTTCTTATGGCAGACATATATTGCTTATGCCCTGACATCATCCTATTTTGCATGCCAAGCACTCATGTTTATGAGTCAGAAGGAAAATACATTCAAACAGGCTAAACCTGAAATAGCACAGCCTAACAAATCAACCTAAAAAATCTTAACTTCACATTTAAGTGTGCTTATTTGTCAGCAAATTCCTTATTTTAAGGAAGATTTTGTTGTGCAAAAAAAAGTTTTGAATGCAGCTGTAGTGCAATCACTTATTAAGTCTGAATGTATTACCCAAGTCAAAACAAAGTTAGACAAACTTTCACAGTTCATAACCTAGAACGCCCTTCATCTGCAGTTCAGAAAGGCAATCAGGAGTGATTTACTTGTTAGGACTAGAATTTTAGACTCCAGATTGGCTCGTGTGTGAAGCTGCTCTTCTCACTAATTAGAGAGATAGGGTAAAAAGAGCTGTAGCAGGGGAAGGAAAGAGAGGCTCGTGTCATTCTAATATCCCACTATTACCCTCCCTCAGTACCAACGCAGACATCCCCAGCTCCTATTAAAGCCCCACACAGCCTATCACCACAACTAAACAAAATATCTCCAAGCTAGCCATCTTACTGCCTCAATCCCACGTCTCTAACTACCATCACCCAAGACAGCACTGCACCCACAATCCCAAATAAACTAACTCAGAGCTATTTTCTGACTCTTTTCTCCCTCATCTCTGCCAAATCTCTCTAAGCCAGCAGTTATACACTATTCACACTCCACCTCTATTTCCATATGGCTTTTCAGTGCATACACCAATAACCTCCCTAATCCCCCAAACCTCCAAGTAGACTTCCCAGGCAGGGACATCTATCCTAAGTCATCCCACTCTCAGCACTGTCCCAGCCACCATTGCCACTTGCTACTTAAGAGCCACAAGATAATACAAAGGACAGCAAAGATTTCCCCAGTAATGGAAACGTAATTAAGCATGATTTTATATTGTTATATAATCAGTAACATGACCTGACTTGCAACACTTAAAAAGCCCCTGCAACAGATATGGCCTAAAAGGGATGTGAAAATACTCAAATCATGAGAACAAAATGAGAAACCTGATTTCTTCCTCTCTTCACCCTTTCCCCTGTGAAGAAATATTCAACTAATCAAGTAGATGTGAAGAACTTTAGTCTAGCCTGTTTTTATTATTCCAGCATATTCTTTAGTTGCTATTCAGTGATGTCACTGCTCTGTTATAGAGACTGCTGCATAGAGCTTAACATTCTGAAAGTCACCTGGGCTGGATTTAACACCTATTTAGCTACTCAGGAGGACTGGACAAGAAACCTCAGGGTGTTCTCCTCATTCTCCTCCAGCACGTGAATAACTTCTGCAAAGATGGCAGCCATGCTTTTCCTCATTCATTCTTCTCTTCAGTAGAGTAAGTCAGATCAGCTCCTCTTATTTTTCATTCAAAGATCACAACCCCCAACAATGATTATTGTACTCCTCAGGACTGCATCATCTCCAGAAGGGAACAGCACTGCATTTATACAGACATGACTGACCAGATGGGGCTTTGAGAACCTGGTGTAGTGAAAGGCAGCCTTGCCTGAGGCAGAGGGTTTGGAATGAGATGATCTAAGTTCCCTTTCAACCAAACCATTCTATGATTTTATGTTAGCCTGAATAATACCCCCTTCTCCTCCCACTTGTTTTCCTAGAACCACTTCCACCTATCATTTTCCTGAAGTTTTGCAGTAATGTTTGCCGTTTTGTTTATCTCCCACTAATTCTATAAGCCCTATTTCAGACTTCTCCAAATGTATTTTATAATATATACTCCTATAAAAGGCTACCAAGTTTAAGATTTTAGTTTCTAAATAAAATTACTATGACTCCTAAGGACTTGTTTCCAGGTAGAAGAGTGTACACCTCAATTTCATTTAGATCACTCTGCCTTCCTGCTTTAGAAAGCCCCAGGGTGTTAATATTTGTGTGAGCCATCACTTTCTTCTGCTCCCTTATCCTCTAAGGCTACTGGTCTGCTACAGAAAACAAATTTGAACTTACCCATTCTTTCTCAAAGACCTACCCTGGTGGTTTATTTTCTTCGTATTTTCATGACACTTCTCAGCATTATGCAAAATGTGTGTTTTGTTAAAATATTTCAGATTTGTCTGAACAGTTTGTAAGTGTATGTCACACAAGCTTTCTCTTTTTTAAAAGACTAAGCTAACAGTAGATATTATTGATTCCAAGATGACCTCAACCCCTTGTCTGAGAGCACTATTAGAAAAGCTGAGACTGAAAATATAATTTAAGACTTCTGTTCTAGGCCGGGCTCTCATAGTGATATTTGGTGATCAATGATATTTACTGGAAAAAGTTTTGCTGTAATCTATTGTAAAGAGGCATTAGACATTTTAGACTTCCTAACATCACCTGTTAGTACTTTTCCCCTCCCTCATATTGAAATGAGATCTATAGAATATAACTTTGCTCTCTATCACATGTAGAAACATCTCTTACCATGCTTTGTCCCTCTTAGCAGTGACATTTCATACACGCCTACAGCTCCTACCAACTTGGTTTTGTCACATATACTTGAGCATCTTATCTTCTAGCAAAAGACCTTTAGCTTTTCTATGACCTGAAAGTTAAAGTATCTTTCTCAGTTCAGTCCTGGCACTAACAGTTTAGACTCACATTCTCCATGCTGTTTTTCAGGGTACACAACACATATACACACACAGCACTTTACAATGTGCTATTCCACCCTTCCACCTTCTCAATCCTTCAAGAAATTTTGTAACATCACAAGAATTACTCTCTGCCTTCATCTTCGTGTTCACTTGTTGGAGGTAAATTCTTTCTCCTTCCCTGTTGCCTTTCTTCATTGCCTGGAGCCCGACTTATCTCAGATTTTGTTGGTCATTCCCATTGTTCCCTGGCCTATACTCACTTCCCTCTCCTTCCACCCCATGAAAATTCAGAGTTTTGATTCTGGAATTCATCATCTGCTAGCTTCGACTCACAGAGCAGGTAGGAAAAAAGGCAACTTTGCTGTAAAGCAAGTAATTTGTCTTTCCTTTCCAAATGCCATTCTTCTGTTACATTAGGTAATTCCAGAATCAATATTCCAGTCATGCATGTTAGCCAAAACACACCTATTAAATTCAATTGACCCATGCTGATTATACAGAAAGACACCCAGTTGCTTTTGATTATTTCACCTATTTCCAGCATTAGTATAAGCTATGGAAATGTTCCAGATGGGACAAGCTACTTGTGATCATGCCTAAGTAAAGGAACAACAGTAAGCAAAGTTGAGGAATCCAACCTCTTACATCAAGTTTTAGAGAATACATGCAGTAAATAAATCATTCTGTACAAAAAGGCAGCAAAACACATTTTAAAAAATTGTTCAAGACAGAGCTACAAGCATATCTGCATACTAGCAAGCAGGTGCTCTGCTTGGAAATGGCCTACATTTCTCAGTGACCACGTTCAGGAGCAGTAGCTGCTATTCAAACTCAGCACCAGAAAGAAGCCATACTTTGTAAGAACGACTTGGAAGATAAGGTGACTAATACCCTCAGCACTATGTACACCAGGTTTACAAGACTACCCTTCTTATAGATCAGATTCTCACCACAAGGAAGAATCAGGAAAGTAAGTTTGAAAGAAGAAACCACATATGGTCTATTTGTTTTCCAACGTTTATCATTCCCACTTCAGAAAAGAAGACTTAAGAAAATGAGGGGGAATAAAAATCTGACAGAAAGAATATAATCAAGAGTATTTTATAACATATATGCCCCCATCACACCTTTTAATTATTTTGTATGTATTTTATTTTTTAAACCGATTTGTTAGACACACAAGCACTTGAAATTTACAGAACACTGACTGAACTTAAATCATCTGCTTTAGCTGTAAACAGTTTCAGTCATAGCCTTACTTAACTCAGCAGAACATACTAGAAGTTAATTTTTCTAGAAAGATCACAAGCAACTTGAAAAAAACAGAAGTATTTGTTTAGAAGACTGGATTTTAAAATATGTGTTTATTCTCCCAGAAAAGAACAACTTACTTGCTAGCTTAGCCTGTAGTCCTGAAGGTCCAGGTTTTGATGTCTCCGACTTGGAAGAGCCTGGTAGAGACAGTTTTGTTTTAGGGAGACTGACTTTGGGGCTGAATCGAGCAGCCCAGTCAAACTTTGAAGAGCCACCTGTTTTACTTGGTTCTTTGTCCCTGCTACTCCTTCTTGGACTGGGGCTGGATGCAGAACGGGAACGTCTAGCCTTACTCTGGTCCTTTCCCTGTTTCACTCTGGCACCCTGAGGAACAGTAGAAGAAGCAGAGGCAACAGCAGAAGAGGAGGAGGAGGTGGAAGCTGAAGAAGAAGAATCGGTGATGGTGCCACACCCAGCTTTGGCTGAGGTCACCGATTTTGAAGCCAGCTTGGAGACTTTTGCTGACTTTTCTTCAGTGCCAGTTGATTCAACTGATGACCCACTCTTTATACAAGACAGATTCTCTGTCCTTTTCCTTTTCTGACTTCTGGAGCTACCAGCAGCTCCACCCTTTCTGGTGTGAGCCTTGCTTGTTGATGGCAATTGTGTAGACTTGGGCTGCTCTTGGTCTGAGTGTCTTCTCTTAGATTTAGTATGTGGCTTGTTAGTTTCTGAGGAAGTTTCAGTGTGTTGAAGTGCTTTGGGTTTTTTAGCAGAGCTAGGAGAATTGGTCCTCCTGTAATCTGGACTAGCACTGCGTTTAACTCCTCGAGAACTGTCTTTCTTAGGCACTTGCCCCGTTTTTTGCTTTTCTGTTGTATTGACACTCTCTGGATCTTCTTGTTGTGGTATTAAAACAGCAGATGAACTACAGCCTCTGTAGAAGTAAGCAGGAACAGTATTAGAGTTGAACTCAAGAAGCCTCACAGCTGTAAGAATTTTGCATTAGAAATGTCATAATTCTTTAATAGTGCTGCATGTAAGAAACACCGTTGACATTGAAGCAAACACCCCCACATGCTTGTATGAGAACAGTCATATCACACATATTTGCTAGCACAAAACCTAAGTAGATTGCAAAATAAAAGCACAATACACCACTTCTTTAAAAAGGAAGCTAAACTTGAATAGATTTTACTTTTATATATATGCCAAACTGATTAAAAACAAACAAACAAAAAAAATAAAAAAATCAAGCCATGAAGGTATTAACTGAATGTTTGAGAATATAAGTTCCACAAGAGAGTAAGGAGTGTTCAGTAATGCATAACTAGTCATAACTGGATTCTCATTCAAGAAAGGCTCTTAAAGAAAGGATAGTTTCTCAATCTTTAAATTGATGTAGTGAATCACATACAAAAATGGCAAAATTCTCTTCTATGTGATAAAAAACTGTTCCAGTGTGTATATAGCAGAAGCATACAAAGAGCAGACAAGCAATACCAACATCATTACCCGGAACACAGGCCTACTTTAGATTATTGCACATTTCAATTCATATTGGACATTGCTCTAAACTCCTTGGGCAATCTTCCCCCAACATGAGGCAGATGAAGGGGAGAAAGACCTTGCAAGTATTCCAGGACTAGTTATGCAGAAATAATTTCCTCCCCATCACTGATGGAATGCTCTTAATTGGTGAATTAGAAAAAGAAAAAAACAAACAGAATTGGAAATATTGAAATATATCCAGTGAATGCAATACCTAGATTAGTTAAAAATCCATTAGTCATATGTCTTATTAGAACTCAGTATAACTCAATAATTACACAGATTTTTGAAGTGCAGATAACACTGGTTAATATATGAATATGAAGCACAATTACCTTTTAGAAAAGTGTCCCTTGGACTGTTCAGAAGTAGTATTAGACTGCACTTTGGGTGTCTTTGAAATAGATTTTCTACTCTCAGGAGGGCTATGTGCCTTATGTTTTGCCTGCCCTAAATGTGACCTGTCAGCAGAAAGTCAAAACAGAAAGCTATCAGGATTCCAAGATACAGATACAGACCTGTAGGAATACTATTTTTGGAGCATTTACACATATAAATTTACAGCTACAAGTTTTTCCATATCAGCTCCTAACAATAAAGCAGCATTTCAAAAGAACCACCTGATGCAGTTACAAATCACTACTAGTGTAACTGTTTTGCAGAGCACACAATTAGTCATTTTAAATGAATAAAACATCTTCTTACATCTGAGTTTTGCAGATACGTTCAGATCTTTCTAGTGTGCATGAGTACTGAATTATTCACTTAAGCATTAAGCTAGCACAGTAAAGCACAAGACTAGAGCATCTGTCAAAGATCTCTTCTCAAAAATAGATATATATACACATCTACTTCCAGATTCCAGGCATTAGGACTTCATACAGTGATGATTATTTACATCTTTGCTCCTCAGTTAAAAAAAAAAAAAAATTTAAGTGCTCAGAATGGGAATGCAGCCAGTTCCACTTGGTAGGAAAGCTCAACCATACCAGTTATTTTCTGGCTGCAAGATCTACCAGTTCAAAAGATTGAGAGCTGTTTGTTAACAACTGAAGCAAGAGTAATGAAGAAATGCACACCACCAATGAAGGCAGTCAAATGAGACAGGATACTTGTGATGTCAGAGACAGGAACAAGTTTCACATAGATAAGCTGTAAGAGGTCTTCTAAGCAGCTTTCAGCTGCATGAAAACAATGGTTTATTGTATGAGCTCTGACTGAAGGACAAAGATAATAGTATACATCATGGATAAAATTTAAGACTTAAGTTACATCTTCATATATTCCACATTTACTTTGAAACCCACTCAGAATTACCACCTGCAAGACTCAGAAGAGAGTGCTCATCAGCATTTAAAACAGGACAGTATAAATAATTGCTAAGGCAAGAGACATCTCACTTGCCTGGATAAAATGCACTTTGGACTCAGCTGGTACCAGGAAAACTCTGCTGCACATATCCTACTTATACAGAAGCCCTAAGAACCACTAACCTTGGAAAAACTTCAAACTAGTCTAGTATTTATGCTGAAAGAAGCAATATTTCAGAGTTGAAGAACTGCTGATTACATGGTCAAATGCTATTAACCCAGACCTAGATAGCCTTCAAGCCGAGGTCTGCAAACATCCATGGAGGATGGGGAGGAATGTGGACTTTCCATTTAAGTAAATAAATATCACGAAGTTTAGGCCAAAAGACAAGTAGAAGTGGTAAGAGTTCCACAGGCTTTAAAATAGCTTCTTCCAATGAAATGCCAGATGTCTAGTAGTAAAGGCAGAGCTAAGCACACTACTGACCAGAAAGCTTCCCATCCTCTTCAGGATTTCAACACATACTTGAATCTCAGTAGAAAACAAGTACCAAGTCTAACCATCAGATGATAACCAAATGCTAATTTGCTTAGAGTCAAAACAGTAAAACTTCAGTAATATGACTTTTTTTCTTGATAACTTTCTTCTGCTTTCTTCTGAATTATTCTCATTTAGGCAGTTACTCAGATGAATGCACATAGACAGTATATATTCAACACTTTCTGTGCCCCATCTAAAAGCGTGACAGTCTGAAAAGATTAAATTAATAGTATCTTCTCCATACTCCAGTAATTAATTTTTCAGTAATTATTTATCATACTGTAAGAAATATTGTTTACTATCAAAAGCAAGTGAAATAAAACAGTCAGATTATAAACTGGAGCAAACTCCATCAAGGTAAACTTGGGAATGTTTCACCTAAATCTTGAGTGTTTGGATTTTCCTTTTCCCAATAAAAGATTTAAGGCATGAAATTTAATTTTCCCCACAAAATATTTTTATTATGGGAGTAACAGACATTATTATATCATTTATACTTGGCAGGAATCTCAAGTTTTATGTAAGCTAAACTGATCAGGGTTCATGTATTCTGAAGTACATTTTAAAAGGTTACTTCCCTGTAAAGATTTTTGTTTTGCTTTAGATAGCCACAAAACACAATAACTGAAGGAACTTTTCAACTAAAATACTACTAAAACAATAGATGCAAAACATGCACTGAAGAGTTTCCACTTGTTTCTGGCCCCTCCCCTTTCACATTTAAACCCAATTCTTACAAGTTTTACAAATACACTTTCATACCAATGTCCAATTTGTGTGGACTATTAAAGCTACAGCCATATCCTAGGGATCATGATACATGCAGAGTATTAGCATTTGCTTTGCTTTCTTTATCCATCAAGCTTAAGCAGAAAGGTTACTCTAGAAACATCACAACTGAGGAAAATTATTTTTTTATTTTATTCTAAAACCCCTACTGTGCCCTCGCTTCTCAGTCTGAGTTAAATCATTCACCTTGCATATACTGCAAACAGAAGATCCACAATACAATAGCAACTGTGCATGCAGCAGCATGTCAGTCAACAGGAACGTGACATGAACTCTCCTCTCAGGTTTATACAAGAACACTGAGGATTTGATTACAGGATTAAGGTAAAAACTTTAAGTATATACCAACAAGTACCATTGTCCCAATTTATATTTTAAGTTGTGAGCTTACTTAAGGTCTCCTTAAAATGTTAACTCACATAAAGGTAGTTAGAATAGTCTGTAAAGCTCAGAATAAGCAATGCTTGCAGAGCAATCAAGTGCTATAAAAGATAGATGCACAGCTGGAAGGCTGATTTTAAGGTTGTAAGCTACTTATACTTCTGTCTACAATCCAAGGCTTTTCACTTGTAACTCGCCATTACAAGTTCTTCAGTCTTTTCCATTAATGTATCATTCATTAAGAATCATCATTCCAGCAACAAGTGTTTTGAGAGACTAAGTTCCCCATTAATGGCAAAAAATGATGAGCTAAGTATTTATGAGCTTGCATTCATCCATTTCCTCTCTCAGGGGCAGCTCCAGAAAGACTGAGCTCCTGCTGCACCTTCAAGTTGTGTTTTGTAGGGGTATTTTGTTTTCCTTCCCTCCCCAAACTTAAAGACAGTTTCACAAAAAACTCCAAGGCTTCATTCAACTGTGCAAAGCTGTCTGCTGATACACATTTTAATTCACAGGCAGACACTCAAGTTTAGAGTAACACACACAAGTTGACAAGCTAATCACCATTTAGCTTGCTGTGTTATATAAACAATATGGTGGAAAATGCCAGCCCTGAGCAAAACCATAATAAAGAACCAACTAGAACCTGTTCTCAGAGAGTTACTCTGTGCATGTGAAAAAAAAAAAAAAAAAAACACCAAAACACCTTTTGAAGTCAGTTAATAAACCAAGTGTTTAATCTTAGTCATGTTCCTCAGCAGCTGAGAGTGAGCTATTAAATACTTCCAAACAAAGTCTGCAATAACTATCCTTTTACTTCTGTCAAAAATGAGATTAAGTAAAAAGGGATAGCACAGATGAAAAAAGCTGTGGAAAAACACCTTTCTCTCCTCATAAATACTCCAAATGTCTTCCCCACCAACTCAAATATCACATTTAGTTTTTCACAGGTCTCAGGTAAGTTCTTATCAGTTAACATATCACCAAGGCTGGTCAAAAAAACAAATCCTGTTTAGAGCAGAAGCAATATAACTGACAAAAACACTCTGCTTATATCAAAGTCCTACACACAGCCAACAAGGATCTCATTTACCATTTAGCCTTCCATTCCTAATACATAAAAACATGTAAATATTTTATTCCAAAACATTAAAATTAGCTTATAAAGTATCCTACTTTCATATAGAACAACAGCATTGCAGTCATTTATGCCAAAGTGATATGCTACTTAAATACTACTCCTAAAGATTCCCTAAGACTAACAATATGCAAAAAGATACTGTCATTTAATGCCACTAATAAAAAAATAGTAATTTTTGCAGCACTGGCAAAAAAAAAGTTCTAGTACATGGGACCACTTCCATGACTCTATACCAACACAGTGAAACACTGCTCACAGCTGAAAGGAACAATCAACTGCTCCATGTCCAGAAAAGATCTTATTGTGTGCCTCACAATACCACTTCCAAATTGCTCCCATTCAAAGTAAATCCTATGGCATCACTGGGAACCCAGCCAGGAGGGCACAATTCTTCAATACACATGGTAACAATGTGTGTTAATACAGTTAAGAAAATGACAGTAAGTACCTTCCACCCCCTCCTCCTACCCCTATGAAAAGAAAGCTTCATTAACGCATCTGCTTCAGTTTACTGCTGCAAAGGGAAACTTTAGCATCATTATTGCTTCCCTAAACACCTGCAAAGAGTCACCCTTCAGTAGAGAGTGCTCCAAGACACACTTCAGAGAGGGTTCATGCTGTACCATTATAAAGGCGCCATCGTGTAATAGTAATTCTAAATACTTTTCAAAATGGTAGTAAAACCAGTAAGAACTGTAATACCCGCAAGAGCTGAAATTCATCCAAAGCACAGTTATTGTAACATCACTACTGACAACAGAAAGTGAACAATCACATTACTCCAAGTTCACAATTTGCTTACATGCATACATAGGGAGGGAATGACACCACCACCAGTTCATATACCCCTTTTCAAATACAGACTCCCTCTTTCTTGGAGGGAAAAGCCCACATCGCTGGTGCAGCACAAACTGCAAATAAACAGCATGTGTCTTTCTACACTTCCTTGAGCCTAGCATCATTGTTTGTACCTTTAAACAATGCACCCCAAAATCGAGCTCTCAAAGCTCCTATTAGGCATCCCCTGCTCACTGTGACTCAAGTATTGATGTTATGGGGACATCAAACAAGCCCAGTCTAGAGGAAAATGGGTTTGCATTGCTGCTTCCAGGTTAAGCCAGTCTGTCAATACTCCACGTAACAGGAGAGAGATTCTGCATTTAGAACAGACCAGAGAGAAGTTTGGAATTTCCAAGGTCTTCATACAAGTGAACAGCAGCAGCTCGTTAAACTGGCAGAGCTTTAACAAAATACCTTTAAGCTGTCGAAGTGTCAAAGATTATAGAAAGAAATACATTAGCACCTCAGCTTGGCAGCACTATCATCTCCCTCTCTCTTGACATCTTTATCAACCAAAAGTCTCTTACATTCACTCACCCAGCCAGAGCATAAAAGATCGAGACAACTCTAAGGTTATTACAATGCCATCTGGCCATACCACACCTTACCTTGGATTACGGCCTTCAAATCCAAGTCTGAAATTAGGAGTGACAAACTGCATAAACTCTCCAGGCTTTCGTGTCACTTAATTTGTATTTTGAAAATGCACGCAGCTCAGCCACAAAAAAGCTTGAAGAAAAAAGCTGTTGCATGTCCAGCACTGAGAAAGCTATTTATACAAAGCAGAAATGCAATCAAGTACACAAGTTCAGGCAGTATCAAAACCTGTCCTTGCTGGAAGGGTTATGATTGCATATCTATGACCAAAGTGAAGTAACCTCCAACACTTCAGAAGGTGTGGCCCTTAAGTCTGCTTACAAACTTTGTGGCTAATTTTAGGCATGAAGCAACCCTCTACCGAGTCACATTACTGTCTAATTGCCTCTTTTTTATTGGGAAGGTGGGGTGTTGGTAGTTTTTAATCTCTGTGTATTGATTTTTTGTTTATTGGAGAAGGGCAAGAAATATGTGGATCCAATAAAGTGGCTGAATAAAATCTCACACTATATGTACAACATCAATAAATAGTATGGATCAACAGAAGAAAATCTATAAAGCAAGACAGTTGCCATTAAGGACCAGTGTCCACCATCTCTGCATTTCAATGATTTCTACTTCAAAGCATACCAGATTACAACCACAAGTGACCAGCATACACAAACTGCTCTCATAGAGCACAACTTCCAGTTCAGTTTCATCCAAAAAGATTCCAGTTCAAGTGCTCCAAGACCATTCCACATTAGCAGGTGGGGATGACTGACTGGCTTCAAAAGAACATTCCCAGCTCCAACTGAAACACTAACAGATACATCCCAAGTTCAGTTATTTGCACAATATGAGCATATTATTGAAACTAGTCTTTCCACAGTTTGTTTATTCTATTTTAAGCAATTTTACAGCTGAAACTGAAGAGTTTCATTTTACTGATGATAAATGCAAGAAAGACTGAAAACAAATTGTCTCAGGCATCCCAAAAAAAAAAAAAAAAAAAAGTAAGAAAAGGTGCATTGTGTTTTGCTCAGTGTTTGTTTGGGGTTTTGCTGGGTTTTTTTAATGTAACAGCCAAAGCAGTGTTTATCACTGGAGTACAGCAAGGCATAACAAGACACATCAAGCTGTGAACTCTAGACCCTCCTGTATACTGCTCAGCAGCAGAACTGAAACATCCTACACCACTGCATGCTAGATACATGGAAGGGTGAGTCCTGTGAGGTTTATGCCAAAGACAGGCACCAGCTAAAAACTGTTACCTGAGAGCCTGTCTCTTTCCATGCCATCTACAAATTTTTTAAGGATCTGACAGATCTTACATTGGTGCTTGTACAATAGCCATTTTTGCCCAGCACCTTACTAAAAAGGAGATGCTGATGACAGTAAAAGAAGACAAATTAATTTTAAATTTTATATTAACCAGCATACTTTAACCAGGCTTTTTTATAGGCTTTGCCAGCTCAAAATGCTTGCTCAGAAATGCAAAGGAAGGGGATGTCCTGTTCTAAAGAGACCCAGATTCAAACAGGACTGTAAGCTTCTTCCATCCTCTTTACTTTACCAAGGAGCTCTAGTTCTGATAAAGGTCTAACACAATTTAAGAGTGCAATACACAGATCTGGTGAAGGGTGGAAGAAGTCCAGTCATTTCAGACAAGTGAATCTTCAATCACTGTATGACAGAATAGGAGATCACAATACACCAAAACAATGGATGAGTGACTTTCTTAAAAGGAAACACTGCTACCCTTAAAATTCTTCAGTTTGTCTGACTCGCTGTGGAGCTTCTCCCTGGCATTCTGCTGTAAAATCTGAATGAACATCAGAATCCCCCATCTCATCTCCAAATAACTTGCCTCCAATTCTTTATTCTAGAAGAGCTTTATTCACCCCAGGTGAACTTCAGTGTAAAAGGAAAGAGTTGGTAGGGCAATACCTAATTTAAATATCCACTGAGACGCAGAGACAACACAGAATGGGCAGAAAGGAATGAAGGGCTCACTATGCCTATGTTAAAAGAGCTATTCTCCAAAACCAATTCTAGCTTATAAAATAATCAGCTACATAAGGCAGCAACTTCCTTAGGCCACATTGAGGGGAGAAGCCTTGTGTTTATCATTCACTCTTCCACTTATACACTAGATTAGTTTAGACAAAGTGAAGCTGCATTTTTCAGATTGAATTAATTCTCCCCAAAGCTCCTTAGAAGTTCGCTTTCTTCATCCATTCAACAGTTGTTCAACTTGTTCTCAGTTAGACTTTACACTAGTAACACATACATGTCACCTCCATTAAGCTTTATAGCCTAGTTCCTTCATCATAAAAGACTTCTGTGCCACTGACCTGCAATGTTTTAATACTCATCCCGAAAAAAAAAAAAAAAAAATAAAAAAAAAAAAAAAAAATCAAGCCCTAGGTACACATATTCAACAACTGCACCAGTAATTTATCAGAGATTAGAATACAGACAGATTTGCCTACCGTCACGCTATAACCTTTCCTCATTAGACTGATCTTTTAACATAGTTAAAGAAACTTATGTCCATACAGGCTTCATTCATGGCAGGAACAATACAGTCATGCATGGAAAAGTTTTAAGGATCTTCTTTGTTCTGCACTGCAGAGGCAATCACAAAGCAAATACAATCTGGTCCACTTGTTCACTACATCAGGCATATTAAATAATGGCAAACCTTTTTTTCCCTTGAGTTATTCAACAGCTGCACAGGATTTATATGCAGTACAAAGGTAACAGAGTACCAGTTATTCAGTCTTCTCCAAGAAGAACACATTTACCAGATTCCCAGTAATAGACTCACTCTGCCATCCCCCTCCCATACTTTTAATAGGGAAGAAAGAGGGATAAAAACTTTGTTACTACTTGTGATTTATGGAAAACAGCTTTTTCCCCCTATAGCTCTACTACTGCTATTCTAGCTGAACACGTATGGTAGTGAGTTATCCATGGGTTTACCCCATGCAGTAACAGTACGGGTAGCACTTCAGGGACAGAAAGATTTTATGCAAATTTCAACACTTGGATTGCAGGGTGAAAAACATTATTCTTTAGATCACATCCATTTCACTGTTAGACATCTGAACACTCACAGACAGCAGTCATACCTTCCTCCTACTGCGTCGTCTTGTGGCTGGGCCCCGGCAGTGTTCCTCTGTGAACGTCGCAGTGACCCCCCTGGATTGTTATTAGGCCGGTTGGACATTGGCACCTCTCTCCTGAAGGGACATACCCTTTCTAGACACTATCATTCACTGAAAAACAAAAGAGGAAGAGCCATAAGATATGTGGCATGAAGACTCACCCCCACACCTCCAGAGGCAAATCTAAAATGCTGTTGTTTAAGCAAAAACTGAAGACAAAAAACTTTCAAACAATTTTTAGTTAAAAGACACATGGACAAGGTTCTTCTCAATAAGATTTAGAACCTTAATACGGAGCAACCAGGTTTTGGTATATATAGCATGCAGATGATATACTGAACTAAACGACCTTTAAAGATCCCTTCCAACCCAAACTACAAACTCCTCTGTGATTTTGTGATGACATGCTTCTTTTCTAGCAGTCTTCTCTAATTATAAGGAGACAGGACAAACGCAATTTAGGAGAATCTATGTTTATCAACATTAAGGAAAAACTCAGTGCTTGATAGACAGCAACAGTATTCAAGTATTTTAACTTTCAGAGTAGGAGATTACAAAGCCCATTTCAGGAATAAACAGCAGTATTCACAACATAACTACAGTGCTTTCCAAACAGCTTCTTAGTCTTATTTATGCAACTTCCATTTGCATAAAGCAAGATATATAGTCATTCAGGAAAAAAGATCTAGCTTTATAATCAGGAAGTTCTGCTCATCAGAGCTAAATTAAAGGGAAAAGGTATTTGAGACAGAAGGATTAATGAGCGCATAGAATTATTTTTTTAGAAATAATCTATTATGGCTTTGTAGTACTACTTTTGGTATTGCTTTATGACTGTTAGAGGCCTAGAGATGTTATTTTGGCAGTTATTTATAGAAGGCTACCATAACCCCCAGCCACAGTCCTCAGAAACAGACATATTTCAAGAACAAGCCTTGGTTGATTCCTCAGTGAAGAGAGGTAAGTTCTGTATCCTGTGCTAAATTGGTATTTCCATGTAGAGCTTAGCAACAGGACCACAACCAGCAAATCCAGTTTTACTGTTTCTAATTTTGTGGAATCTGGTTAAAAAAGGTATTTGCAGGTGAAAAAAAGAAGCTGTAAGAAGGAAATAACCCAAGTTTAAGAATTCAGTAGGCTATATGCTGATTTGGTACCTATTATATCCAGAGCACAGTAAGCAAGAAGTCTGTCATGAAAAAGTTTAAAACACTGCAGCTTGAGATTCAAATTCAAATATCTCCAATGAAATAATTTTCAAGATCTGGCATTGTCAGTAAAAACAGTGAATAGCTGAACATAATTGCCTATTCTTCTGAAAAGGGCCTATAGAAGTGAACAAAGGTGACAGGAAGGGAACAGGAGAAAAAGAAAAAAATCCTAAATGATGCAGTTTTACTGTGGGCCATAAGAAACCAGGTATATAAACTCATTATTATGCAAACCTCAGACATGATGCTAAAAGGCACATGTATATCATCCATACACCTCCACAGCACAGGAAATTAGTGATCAGGCCTCTGCTAGCTCAGATTCAGTCTTCTACACTACAATAATACAACCTAATATTGAAGGGTCACACTTAGCATGCCAGAAATACTTTAAATATTTCCAGGAATTGAGTAAGAATACAAGTTAGGCAGAAGAACTGCTCTCCATCCTAATCCCCACAGCACAGGAGTCAAAAGCATCTTTTGAAAGTTTTTCGTGTTCTTTCTACTAAGAGGTCCAACATAGCACCAAACTGCAAACACAAAGTAGACTTAATGACAAATGACTTTTACCTTCATTCGTTTTGGTTGGGTTGTTTTTTTTACCTTATGCTTAGGAACTTGAAAGAATCTAAGTAAAGCACAAAATACACAACCCCACAAAGTACAGTTGTTTGATGAACCTCTTAGATAGAAGTCCTGATGACTAAGTTAAAAAAGCTATGAACACTACTACTCAACATGTGAACTTTTCCTCTTCACAATTGTTTCTTCTTATTCAAACTCCTTAATCAAAGCCAGTATTCCCATAACAGAAAGTTTTAAAGCTTTTCAGTAAGATGCAACACCATCAATCTACAACTTCTTATACTTTAGAGCACAAAAAGATTTACAATGAAACAGAAAAAGCTTGAACTGCTGGAAATCATGCCAGCTTGCTGGTGTAGCCAAATCAGTCAAGTTAAGGAGATCTTAAGTTGTAGCATTCCCTTCAGAATAGCACTGCAAGAAACAATGCCCAGTATTAACCAGGCTGAAAGCAGAGCAAGGGCCGAGCTCTACACCAAGGGGGTCCAGCTGAAGTCAGTCACAGGCAAATGTTGCTGTGCATTCTCTTTTTATTTCCTTGTATTCAAAAACCAAATTAAAAAAAAAACCTCCCTACCATCAGAAACGAAGTGCATTTTTTGCATTTTCTAAAAGGAAGGAATAGTGTCCCCTTCTACACAAAGGTCAGCTGGTACTGGAAACTGTACTTATGTCAAACTTTCAGTCATACTACAAAATAGGTGCCACAGAACTCTTGTCTCACCTTGTGCTGATTAAAATGTGCATTCCAGTAGGTTCCATTCTGCAAGGAGCAGTGCTCACTTAGACCTCTGCTATGCACTTTAGCCAGGCACTTTCCCACCTAGGGCCAGAACATCGGCTTCTCCACACACCACCACCAGAGCCAACTGAACAAAACATCACACAGGCAGTCCTGGCCCTCCCTAGAGAAACTTTAGTTTAACACTGATCTGCCTGGGCATGCTGGTTTTGTCTCTTGTCAGACTTGAATTTACTCGAAGTGACTGCTATAGAGCTGTGTTCTGGATTTCTGTTGAACACGGCGTTGATAATGGAGCACAGTGTTGATAATACAGATGTTTTTGTTACTGGTGAAAAGTGCTTAGAGCCAAGGCCTCCTCTGCTTTTTGTACTGTTAGTCATGCTGGTGAGGAGGCTTGAGGTGCATGGGAGGCTGGGACAAGAACCAGTCAGGAGAGGTGACCCAAACTGACCAAAGAGATATTACACAGACCACATGATTTCATGCTCAATATATTAAGTGGGAAGAAGGAGGAAGGGGAGGATATTTAGAGTGATGGTGTTTGTCTCTCCTGGAGAAGACTGAACACCTACCCAACCATGGGAAGCAGTTAATTCTTTGTTTTGCTTTGCTTGTACGCATGGCTTTTGCTTTTCTTATTACACTGTCTTTATCTCAACCCACAAGTTTTCCGGTTTTTACCCTTCCAAGTCCCTTTCCAATCCGACTGGTGGGGGAGTGAGCAAGCAGCTGCCTGATGCCTGATTGCTGGCTGGGATTAAACCATGACACAGGGTCAGCCAGACACTTTAAGCAGTCTGTGCTCAGAAGTTATGTAGCACAATGTGTTGTCATACACACGGCATTTTCAGCTGTGTAGAAGAATGAAATGACAACTGTTTTATCCTGTAAGGCATCTGTCAAGTCAAGATGATGTCCAGAGTTATCTTCTATATTGATACTTCTTGACTTAACTGCAATTCTTATTGTGTACTTGTTGCCATATGACTCTCAGTTTGCTTTTAAATAAAATGCAGCTTCATGATTCAGCTGTGACCTTTAGCATTGAAAACCAACTTAATTCTCACTGCAGGCCACACAACACCATGTGCCCAGTTAGTCCAGTAATGAAGAGGTATTTTCACAATTGCACCTTCCACATCCTAAAACAACAAGAGCCCAGAGGTTCCTAAATCTTAGCTGTTCTCATTCAGACTTGTCCCTCGACCTTTGAGCTCACTCCAAGCACTCTGCTTCCTCTTTCCCATCATCAGACACCTTCATTAAAAAAGTGCAACTCAGTAGAGACCAGCTCAATGTGCCAGTGCAGTCCTGCCAGATTTTAAGACAGTTTCCTCAACTACACTACTTCTTCCTCACACTCACAATAACAAAAAGCTGCTGCAGCAATCCAGCTCCTCAAAACTGTACAGACTTATTGCCCTGAAGTCAGTATTAGGCAAAAGGAGGGGGGGAAGAAGGAAAAGACAGGAGGATGTTTATATACCTTGCAAGTTCAGAACATTTTCTTCCAGCAAGTTGCACATCTTGCCAACCAGAACCCAGAGTTCAGCATACATATCAGAAAATATTAAGCCTAAGACTTCAGATTTGGATTCCTTTACTTCAATGTAGACAACATTAATTTACTTGATCAGATGTTTCTATGATAAATATTGTCATTTAAGATAGAAACAACACTCTAAATATATAAGCATACAACACATTTAAGAGCTCAGACTTCATTTGTGACTAAACTGAAGAAATTACTACCTACAGTTTAGTAACTGCTGAATTGTTTCAGATTTACATCATTTTCAACTGATCTCAGCTGCACCTCATTTTTGCTCACTGTTCACAAGGTTCTCAATTAACTGCAAACATACACACCTCTTTACTTGCCTTACAAGCAAGCACTTCTAAGTACTCAATTACTACTTCTACTTCAATAGTTGACTTAAATTAAGATGACTTTTTAGTCTACAGAGTTGCTTTAAACTCAGTCTTCTGCAGCTGATTTTGACACAATCTTCTCCCTCCCTATACTCTCCAAATTCAAGAGTTATCCACTCATCCTCATTCTTTTTCCACTGAAGTCCTCACCTTAAACAGATTTTAAAGCTCCACCAGGGCAGAAGTTTGTCTTTTCAGTTTAGCAGCCTCTTGTCCCTTCTGCCTGTAGATGTGGCTCATGGAAGAATTTTAGGGAGTGGATGCAATAACATACTGAAAACTTGCTAGAAAAATTTTCTGCCACATGTCCTAAATTATCATCATCCTTCTCTTCTTCCTGACTGTAAATTTCTGTACACAAACAAGGGGAAAATACATTCTCCCATGAGCTGCAAGGTGCTGTAAGGCACATCAAGGTATATGCATTTCATCTGCATTCATACAAATCCTGAGTTATTCAGCTGCACTGAGCCTCAAGAAAATGACAAACTTTTCTTCTTTTAACATAGGAAGACCAAGCTAACACTTGATTTCCTTATCTGCTCCCATTTCTACCTTATCCCCATGACTAACCAGAAGTTGTCTTCATGATTCAAAGATGCCAGAGTGCACTGAGGCTTCCCTGCTGCACTGCATCTAATGACGTAGAACTCACATGGTGACTTTTATTAGAACGACTTCCTTTGATACAAAAACCACACAAAAATCATACTGGATCACATACTAGGCTTAACTGCATTCTTTTTGTATTTTCCTTCTCCAATGCTAGAGAACTAGAGAACTACACACACAGAACTGCATGCACAGACACCCAAATTACAGCAAATTCAGTACACACATGAAAATCTCCAGGATAAACAAGATTCTACAGCCTTCTAATGATGTAACATTACCTCACTGCCAAGAAGACAGACAAGCTAGTATCAAGGACACTTCTGGAAACAAGCATGTACAGTCATAAGGAAATAGATTTCTACAGCTCTGGCACAGAATTTCTACAGATTTATATAGCTGCATTACATTTGTCACTTCTCTTTGAAGACATTAATAAGGTATCAATGGGAAGACAAGCAGAGTTTTAACAGCCTTCAGAAGCAAACTCCTCTTCAGACCAGATGTCTTTTTGATGCAGAGTTCAACTAAGTACAAGAGTTAAATCAGAATTATGAAAAAAAGCCTTGGCTGGAAAGAATCTCTTGAGTGATATGGTCCAACCATCTGCTGAAAGCAGGACCTCAAATTACACTACACAGCTCTCATTCTGAGATGTGACAATTGCTAACCATATTGACAAAATAAACTGAGTCCTGAGCAAGAGGTGAATCACAAGAGCTACCCTGCACAAAGGGGAAAGGGAAAAAAAAAAAATAAAATCACAAATTAAGGTATTAAAGCACCACCATACATAAAAGCATGCAAAGAAGACATTACCAGAATATCAGAAACTTTAAAAATTCATGCCATAGATGTCAGTTCAAGTAACCTGAGATCTCAGATCTGTGTAAGATTTACATGTACCCACTGACACACTCTTCATCCCTTCCAAGGACAACTGCTCTGAGAAAAGAGCTAACTATGGCCCAGCTCCCCACTACATTCACAAAAACCTCAGAAAAATCTCCCTCCCCTTCAGTTCTTCAACCAGTAACCTGGACTAAAAGGAAGAAGTAAGAAAAATGGGCATGTAAGCTACCAACTTCAAAGGAGACCAGCCTCTGAAGATATTATAGATTAGGACCAGCTCATATGCCCATTTTTACACTAAGTAACTTTAGACAATATGTAAGCTCTTAGCCAGAGAATAATTTTCCAAGTTGCCAACAAAAAAGAGAAAAACTTCAGTAAAATAATTCTTCCTAGATTCATTTCGTGGAAGAGTTCTTTTTAATTCAGCTTCTCTGGTATCACTGGAGTGACTTCAACATAAAGAAAAAAAGTAAAATAAATCAGTCAAGGAACAGAAGTTATTTCCTGTTCCATTGACTTTACAACAGCCATCAGAAAATTAAGGCAAACTTTGGGCCTTGCTACATTAGAAGTCAGCTTTCCCTTTCCCTGGCTTTGAAGAGCTCAGCCCTTGCCTAGCCTTCTAGCCAAGACAGTGGCAGTGCTGAAGGCCACTTCGGCAGAAAAGCAAAATGAGTGGCTGAAAGGATGTCACCATTAGATAAGTTTTCAGACTGCACCTATGTATATATTGTCTAATGACAGAGACAACTGGGAAGAGAAAGTCTTAGTATGAAAGAAGAGGAGAGAAGAGCAAATAAGTCTACATTTGTGATCTACTACTGCTAATTGGAAGTTCAAATACTCATTATCTGCAACCAGAAGATTTACAAGTTCCCACAGGTGATAACACTGGAAACACCTCTGAAAAGATGCACAGCATTACTTGCTAGAGGAATACCCAGGCTGCCAAGATTATGTGATCCAAAAAATCATCTGTGCCATGACCCCAAGCAAGCAAAATAGCACAATTTACCTACTGACTTCTGACTACTGTCAAGTATTGTTTAAGAAAAAATCGAAATACATGTATCACATGTTTCAGTGTTGATAAGAACAGTTCTGTGAAAATGAGCTGCAGAAGCTGAATAGTCTCCCCTCCTTCAAGCAGGTCAATCAAATTTGAAGTCTAAGACTGCAGAGACCTTTCATTGAACCTGATACAGGAAAACAAAACTAAAAACTTCTTCAGGGACCTGGAAGAAGCATAAAAATTTGTTCCATTGAATTACAGAGAACTAACAACCATCATTCCTTTAGAAATAAAACAATAGATTGGCCTTTATGCCACAGCGTGAACCACAATAAGTCCTTCTGGGCTGTGAAAAGTTAAATTGGAATAGCAAATGGGACAATACAAATACTCAAAATTACCAGGAAGTACAGGTGC